TTGGAAACTAAGGATAAAGAAATAATCGTCACTAATTATGAACATAACAGACATTTTCTCATTTCTCTTTATTTTTCGTCATTTTCTCAACAGCAGCAGCTGGAAAACTTCCCCTCTCCTTCACTGTCAGAGTTGGAGATGAAGTCACTTTGCCTTGTGAAAATGTGATAGACGGTCAGCAAAAATGTGAATATACTACATGGGTCTTTGCTGGTTCAGGATCCACAGCAGCAGTTGCGCTGTTTGAACATGGAAAGATTGGTGAAAACACCAAAGCTAAATCAGACAGACTGAGTGTTACAGAGAACTGTTCTCTCGTTATAAAGAAGGTCACAGTCGAGGATGTTGGTCATTACACCTGCAGACAGTTCACACATAAAGAAGGAAAACAACAAGGTCCAGACTCTCAGGTTTATCTGTCTGTTATTATCAGTGAGTATTTACGTCATAATGTTTTCAGCTCAAATTGTCTTGTTAAAACAAAATACTGAAACATTACAAAATATCGAGATCCTCAACAGAAAAAGGACCATATAGGTCATAATAACCATGCTTTCAGTACGACCCATATTTTCTTTGCGTCAGCAGCCTCTAGTGGCCGTATAACGCTAGCACATGGGAAAGACGGTCACTAATTATAAACAGCTGTCACCCAAGAGACCAGCTCTGGTGTCTGTGTGGAACAAGATTGATTTAGCTTTAATGAAGTTACAGACATGGACAGAATTCTTGGTACCCTTCCATTAAAGAAAGAAAAACCCACAATAGTCCCTGAAATAACTCTAAACAGACAAAAGTAATCAAAATTTACTGAATATTAACTGATGAAAATCAGACATTGCTTTTGAATTGTGGTTCAACAGAATCATTTTAAATGTTAAACTAAGGTGTGTTCTTCCATTAGCATCACAGGTGTCTTCAAACTTGTAATCAGTCAGTCTGCCTATTTAAAGGGTGAAAAGTAGTCACTTTACTGAGCTGTCTCAGGAGTTTAGAAAGAAAATTATAAACAAGCATGTTAAAACTAAAGGCTGTAAGATCATCTCCAAGCAGCTTGATGTTCCTGTGACTACAGCTGCACATATTATTACAGGGACTGTAGCCAACCACCCTGGACGTGGCCGCAAGAAGAAACTTGATGACAAATCAAAGAGACAGATAATGCAAATGGTAACGAAAGAGCCCAGTACAACTTCCACAGACATTAGAGATGAACTCCAAGGTCCTTTGGACAGATGAGACAAAACTGGAGCTGTTTGGCAATTCACATCAGCTCTATTTTTGTAGACGCAAAAATGAAGCATACATAGAAAAGAACACTGTACCTACTGTGAAGCATGGAGGAGGATCTGTTATGATTTGGGGCTGCTTTGCTGCATCAGACACAGAGTATCCTGAATCTGTACAATGAAATATCAAGACTATAGAGTCATTCTGGAGCAAAATTTGCTGCCCAGTGTCAGGAAGCTTGGTCTCAGTCACAGGTCACGAGTCCTCCAACAGGATAATGACCCAAAACACAGCTAAAAACACCCAAGAATGGCTAAAAGCAAAACATTGGACTATTCTGAAGTGGGCCCTTGAGCCACCCTTCAAACCTGAGACAGCTGGAGCAGTTTCCTTATGAGGAGTGGGCCAAAATACCTGTTGACAAGTGCACAAGTCTCGTTGAGAGTTACGGAAATCGTAATATTAACTTCAGGTTAGGCCCTACCATCATTTTTGTCCAGGCCAGTTTCACTAGTTTGTTTTTTAAATTATTTTGTTGAACCACAATTTAAAAGCAATGTCTGATTTTCATCAGTTAATATTCAGTAGATTTTTAGTTATTATTACTTTTGTCTGTTTAGAGTTATTTCAGGGACTATTGTGGGTTTTTCTTTCTTTAATGGAAGGGTACAAGCAATTTTGTCCACGTCTGTATGTAGGTAACGTGATCTACGTAACATCCGGGTGGGAAACGGAGTTTGAAATTGGCGTTGTGTGATGGATGAACAAACGCCACTGATAGGGAACCTAATTTAGGATACGCTCATAAGACTTGTATTGATTGGGAACATGGATAATACGACCAATGTTGTCATTTAGGTTGAAGGACTTCTTGTTATGATCACAGTGATGAAGTTAACTTTTTTTCACAATATCTCCATCTTCACCAGTGACTGAACATAAGGATGCTGATAAGGTGACGTTAAACTGCTCTGTGTTGATATATGAACAGTTCTGTATACACACAGTGAAGTGGCTGTATGAGGGTAAAGATGTGGACAAAGATGACAAAGACATGAATACATCACAGTCTGGCTGCTACGCCACTGTGTCTTTCCTGGATTCTCATTTTATTTACAAATCAAAGTCTAACTTGAAGTGTGAAGTGACAGATGGTTACTCTGGAAAAGTGCAGCTGTTCACCTTCAGCCCTCAGTCCTCAGGTGAGAAAACAGGTGAGAATATGCTGAGCTTTCTCATTTAATGACAGCAGATGGTAAACAAGAGGTACTTTCTAATTGAACAGTTTGATCGTAGTATGAAACAGAAAATAGGAAGTGATCAAATAAAATGATTATTGCTTTCCAGGTCGGTGGTGGCTCATCATTGTGTTTGTGGGAGTTGCAGCACTCTTAATAACTATTGTTGCTCTGATCAGATGGAAGAAAAGAAAAGGTGAGAGCTTCATTACATTTTGCTCATTTAGCTGATGCTTTTTATCATAAGCAACTTACAATTGTTATATATGTCAGAGGTCCCACTCCTCTGGAGAAACTGGGGGTTATGTGTTGCAGTGGCAATGGAACCTAAGTTTCCCACAGAAAAGTCATGTATCCACTGTGCCTTTGCCAGAGCCACAGATGAAACCTTTTAAAACAAGACGTTTTGATGAACCTGGATTTTTATTGTTGAAGCTAAAGTCGACTCTCTTTTGTCTCTTCAGGAAAAAAAACCCAGATGGATGAAAACACTGTGAGTTTTACGGCTGAGTAATCAAATGTTTCTACAGTTATGACAAAGCTGAATCAGCTGCTCTCTGACAGAGTCATCCAAATCTAAACAGCCTTCACAGAGCCAGTGTTTGACCACATGGAAGTAGACTCTGTTTGTTTGTTGTTTTCAGGGACGGAGCTTAAACCCTGCAGTGAGTCCAGAAAGCAGTCAGGACACGGTGAGATCTCACACTACACCCAGGACAAAGTTACACTCACTGTTTTTAGGTTTGTTGTTCAAAATGTAGCTCTATGAGACACACAGTGACTCTTGAATCTAAGTTCTTTCTGCAAGAGAAGAAGTGGGGAGTCTGATGATGCAGCTGGACGACACCAGAACAGACCAGAACACAATCAAGTCCACATGTTACTGAGCAGCCATTATGTTGTCTTCTCTGTGTAGGCTGATCCTGAAGATGGTGTTTCCTACGCCTCCATCAGCTACACCAGGAAGACCAACAGTAAAGGCTGGGTAAGCTGAAAACATGTAGTGAATGATAAATAATTGTACAGATTTTCAAATTATTATTACTTTGATCGGTTGATATTTTAGTAATTGTTTTGTTTTTACATTTGACACTGAAATTGTTTTTTATTTTTTAATCAATAAAGTAAAAAAAAATGTTTTTGTCTATTAATATATACACACACACTTACTCACACGCTTACTGTTTTATTTATTTATTTTCTTTTTAAAATATTTATTTTTTTAACACACACACACATGCTTAATGTTTTATTTATTTTATTTGAATTTTTAATATTTCTTCTTTTATTTTTAACACAAACACACATACGCTTTGATTACTTGTTTAATGAAATGTATGGGGTTGATTGTTCTTATGTTGTATGTATGATGCTTTGGCAATATTGTTGTTACACATTCATGCCAATAAAGCATAATCATAATGTTGCATTTACCTGCATTATTCTGTCTCATTTAATGTTGTGTAATTTCTGTGTTGTGCTGTTTGTCTCTTTTCCAGGTTCTGGGTAAAGATGGTGATGATGAAGATGATGCAGTGACCTACAGCACCGTGAAAGCTTCCTCTTCTTCTGCTGGAGCCTCAGCTGATCCCAGCGACCTCTACGCCACCGTCAACTAACCAAACAAATAAGAGACCACAGTGTAATTACAGTTCATATCATTACAGTTTATTTACACTGATCAATGTTTTTTTTTAGACTTATTTTATGATCATTTTCAGGATTTATTACTGTAAAAAGCCTTTTAGTCCAGAAGGGGGTGCAGTAGGTTAAGTAGTAGCACAATAACAACATTATGTGGCTGCTTGAAATGTAACTGAACATAATATATGGTACATTTAGCTTGATGAACTTGCTGTCAGGCATTTTAATGTGCTAGTGCTGTGTTGTAGTTTAACATGTATTAGTTTTTACTGTTATTTCTGTATGTGAACTTCATACCAGCTCATGTCAGCCATAAGAGAAGGACTTGCCTACATTAATACGAATGTAAATACATTTCACACATCTTAAATGTCAAACTAGTCGTGTCTGCAGTCAGCGTGAAAACCTCCAAACCACAGGTGAAGAATTTCAGTCACCACTGTCTATGCTGTCTAGTTTTTCTTAGAAAACCATGAACATACCTGCTCCTATCATGGAGGCTCGATGCTCTACGTCCTGGCAGTTAAAGACTTCAGTGATCAGTGTTTAAACTCTTTATTGAAACCAGTCTCAGTGACCCCAAAGCTCAACGTTGTTTTCAACAGAATTTGATAAAAACCTCTTTGTCCCACTAAAGTCCCACTAAAATATCAAGTGTCTGTTCCTGTGAGGGTGTGTTTCTGATGTTTATCTGGTCATCATTAGAGGGTAACACCTCCAGAGCTCTGCTGCTGTTGTTAACAACATTATCACCAAAACACTTCCCCCTCAGTTCTCAGGTAAAAAATAACTTCAAAGATACAATGAAGAACCATCAGATCTCAGACCAGTAAAATATCATCTTATCTGTGTTGTTCAGCAGCTGCTTCAGTATCACCATATTACACCATGGACATCAGGAGTCAGATTCTGGTGGGCAGGAGACTCTTCCCCTTCTGTTCACCTTTGAATCCTGTCTGTTTTCTAATAAACCAAACCGTTCTCAGCTGTTACTGGGGCCTCCTAGCATGCTAACATTAGCTGAATTCATTAAGAAAAACTTTGGCTATCATCATCTTACTCAGATTACTTCCTCAGATCGTGGTGGCGATGGCGCAATGGATAAGATGCCTGCCTTTGGTGTGAGAAACCCGTCTTCAATCCCCTCTGTGACCCATCCACCAATGTGTCCCTGAGCAAGACACACCTCGTTGCTCCAGAGGCGTGCGACCTCTGACATGTATAGCAATTGTAAGTTGCTTTGGATAAAAGCGTCAGCTAAATGTAATGATTACAGTAAGACTCACACAGGACGAGTAAGACATAACATAGAACAACATACAAAAGTTTACACCAAATTCACAGTCCGCGCTCAGTCCGACCGTGTCAACCACATCAACAAACACACACACATGGTAAAGCACACACAGGGAATGGATTTAACATAACTAAAAAGAATTGGTGAAATTCACAAGCATATAGTATCACCTGTTACACAGGTATTTGACGGGAACGAGAACAGGCTGAATAAACACTAAAAAAAACAAGTTGCATTATTGCAAATATTTATCTTAACTAACAATCTTCACACCTTCCTCTTCTCCTTCTTCTTTGCAGGTGCTGAAACACGTTATTGTCACAAATACACCGTGGGACTGGACACAGTGTGAACTCTGATGGCTGCATCTCAAATTGCTGATCAAGAATTTGGGGTCTCTGTGAGTCACTGTAGATGAGAGAAAACTGCATTTCAAAAATGTAAAAGAACCAGATATTTGGCTGTTTGGACATCGACAAAAAAATTCAGAGAAACAGAAATCTAAAACAGACTAAAAGTCAATATGAGGAAGTGACATCATCCTAACAACAGGAAGTAGCTGCTGCGTCTCTCTACTAAAGCACTAGTTTAGAAACTCAGACAGTTCTGAGCACGAGAACAAGAGACAGAAGAAGGAGAGACTCAGAGAATCATGATGGTTGAGTTCAAATGGATTTCTTTATTTCTTACAGCGGTGCTTCAGTTTACAGGTAAGAATACATATATCACATATATAAATGGAAGGCACATTGTAAAAAATAACTTGATCAATATTATTAAAGATTCTTTATTAGCTACATTTGATTTAACTAAGAAAACCAAATCTGTTGTTTCTAATGTGGTGAGTTTAGTGAACTCTTGGAAACTAAGGATAAAGAAATAATCGTCACTAACTATGAACATAACAGACATTTTCTCATTTCACTTTATTTTTCATCATTTTCTCAACAGCAGCTAGAAAACTTCCCCTCTCCTTCACTGTCAGAGTTGGAGATGAAGTCACTTTGCCTTGTGAAAATGTGATAGACGTTCAGCAAAGATGTGACAGTACTATATGGCTCTTTGCTGGTTCAGGAAACACAGCAGCAGTAGAGCTGGTTAGACTTGGACAGATTGGTGAAAACACCAAAGCTAAATCAGACAGACTGAGTGTTACAGAGAACTGTTCTCTGGTTATAAAGAAGGTCACAGTCGAGGATGTTGGTCGTTACTCCTGCAGACAGTTCACACATAAAGAAGGAAAACAACAAGCTCCAGACTCTCAGGTTTATCTGTCTGTTATTATCAGTGAGTATTTCCATCATAATGTTTTCAGCTCAAACTGTCTTGTTAGAACAATATACTGAAACATTACAATAATTATGATCACAGTGATGAAGTTAACTTTACTCTTGTTGTCTTTCTCTCACAATATCTCCATCTTCACCAGTGACTGAACATAAGGACACTGATAAGGTGACGTTAACCTGCTTTGTGTTGATATATGAACAGTTCTGTCGACACACAGTGAAGTGGCTGTATGAGGGTAAAGATGTGGACAAAGATAACAAAGACATGAAGACATCACAGTCTGGCTGCTACGCCACTGTGTCTTTCCTGGATTCTCATTTTAGTAACAAATCAAAGTCTAACTTGACGTGTAAAGTGACAGATGGTTACTCTGGAAAAGTGCAGCTGTTCACCTTCAGCCCTCAGTCCTCGTGTGAAAAAACAGGTGAGAATATGCTGAGATGTTCAAGATGACATTGTTCTTCCTCATTTAGTGACAGCAGATGGTAAACTAACTATTTTCTAACTGAACAGTTTCTTGGGTTGAGTTACTTCAATCGTGCAGGTGACGCACAAACAACTAAATAAACAAGAACAATTGAAAACAGTCAGTGATACAAAACTACAATTTAGTAATATCGAATTAATCTTTCTTTAGAATATCTTGCAAGTCTTGTTTTCTCCTTATATTTAACTTATTATTTATTTATTTTAATTTTTTTCTTGTCTTCAGCTCGTACAGATTGTTCTTCTCTTGACTTCATAATGTTGGTTATGCGTGTGGCTGAACTCCTCCTAATTACTGTGATTACTGTTCTTCTCATTAGAGGTCGAGGTGAGAAACGTCAGATCAACATTTGTTTACACAGATTAACAAAAACTACAAGTTTAGAGCTGAAATGTTATTCTGTGATCTATTTTCCAGGGAACCAGAGACCAAAATATGAAAATATGAACTGAACTGATGTGTAAAATCAGTAGTGATGAAAAGTTAATGTGTGTCAGAGTGAGGGTTTGTTTGTGATTCACAGGTGAATCATGATGACAATGAAGATGATGGTGTGGTGAAATATGAAAACGATGGAGACCCTTCTGCTTCTGTCAGACTCCACTGATCAACAACTTCCATATCAACATCAGCTCATCAGAGAAAAGACTCCACTGCAGTTAAATAACAGCACATTTACACGAGTAGTTGAAGCCTTTAAATAACAAAGATCCCATGAAATCATTTGGGTTTGTTTTTGTTTTTAGTCATCAATGTGAGAAATGTTTGTATGCTTTTAGCTTAGCCATTTCTACTTCAGTCTGACTTTGAACAACAATATTCAAGTCTTGATTTCATCTCATCTCAGGAAACCCACTGAGTTTTATAAATTGTCTTTTCCTGCAGTTGTGAAAATCTTTATTTTCTGCAGCCAGTTCAGATCACAGCAGCTGGATTTCAACTTCATTTAACAGGAACGAGCATTTAACTCTTGTTAACTTCCTTAAATCATCTTCCAGCTGAAGAATTCAGACCTGATTTTAAGGTTAAATGTTTGTTTTTGAAGCTACAGCCGCTTGAGTTTTAATTTTTATTTCATTTTTCAGTTTCATGTCTCTGTGTACAGAAGAACTCACTTTCAGTTAGCATTGTTGTTGACACATTTGTTGGGATGTGTTTGTGTTTGGCTTGAATAAGTTTTCAGCCTTAATGGAGTCTCTTCTTTATTATATCTGATATCTGTATAATCTGAAAATTAATAAATGTTTACCACTTAATCCCATACTGTGTTTTCTGTTCTCACTGGGCTCTAAAATGTGTCAAAATACAGATATAAATGCATTAAAGAGGTGCTATTATGGTTTTTAGCTTTTTCCCTCTCCTTTATTGAGTTATATATATTTTGTGCATGTAATAGGTTTGCAAAAGCCCAAAGTCCACCCCAAAGGGAGTTCCCAGCTCCCACAGAAAACTCTGCTCTGAACTACCTGAAAACAGCACGTTTGTAGTCCACCCTTTACTTCCCTTTCTTGCGATGTCACAAGTAGATACGTGTCATAATGCTCACTGAGCGACTAGTCCGACACGCCCTCAAAAACACCGGTGGAAAAACACTGAGCTGCAGCACACCTCTCCTCTCCTGTTGTGAATTCCTCGCGTAAAGGAACGGGGCGGATCATGTTATGTTTACAGACAGCGATTACAGCAACGGCGTACGCTGGTGGCGGAAGTTACGCAGGAATAGCGGAGCTGTAATGAGACATCAGAGTCAGACTCTATATGTACTCCGTGATTGTTACAGTAAATTAACCTCTGGCTAAGTTGTCTGTTGTTGGCAGAGGTGTGCTGAATGTCATGTGTTTACCTGTTGTTTCTGCTCCATTTGTTGTCCATTTGTTATCACTAACGGAGAACGTCTTTATTTTATTTAATCAGTATGGTGGTAGTTGTACATTTATTTCTGTAAGTGATTAACAGTTACTTCTCCAAAGTTCTAATAAGGATCTAACTGGTGTGATGGTTATGGAGCCTTTCTCTGTGTTTTATTGCAGAAACTGTTGCCATTACTACTCATGTGGTCCTACAGCGTGACTGCCTGTAACATGTTAACTTTGTGCAACGATCAGTAAAGAAGTTTGAACCACCACTAGTGACTCTGTGCTCTCTAGCAGGAGCCCTGCAGCAGCTAATATCATTCATCACACAGAAATTTATAAGGAGTTAATTCCAGCAGGTTAATTTCAACATCTCCCTTCCAAACACTAGCTACCCTCCAAGCAGTCAGTGGACATAAAGTTGTTACTGTGATGGCGGTAACAACTATACCGCGGATGAGTAGGCTGCAGGCATTGAGTACTGTTCCCATAACCTTGGAATGAGTTAACTTTTTTTCCTGGGATATAATGTAATGTAACACTACCTACCTCTTTAACTGAGCTTTGTGTTTGTGAAGAGTGCCTTTACTTTTTACAATTATGGCAAATAAGTCTACAAGACGCTGCTGCTATGGTGGACGCCGATGGCGAGTTTAGTATGGCTACACTAATTAGCCTACTGGAGGAACACAGGAAAGCACTAGCGGTGGACCTAAAAACATCCCTCGCATCGTTTGAAGCAAAGTTCGATGGAATTCAAGCAGTTGTGAATGACCATGACCAGAAAATTGAGTCACTGGAAACCAACACCAACGTACAGGATGAACGGATATCAGCCCTCGAGTCCTCATGTGCTGTACTTTCTGCGACAAATGCTAAGTTGTTAGCAAACGTGTCGGACCTTGAGTCCCGTAGTCACTGTAATAATATTGCTATTGCTGTTTATGATGACTACACGCCTGAAGTACTGGAGCATGGATCTAAATATCGGGAAGTGATGTCTGAACTTTTTTAAACTAAGGTCTTAAGCCTGCATTGTGGTATCCTGCTAGGCTAACTATAATGGATAAAGGTGGAGGTAGGAAAATACTCTCTACGGTGGAAGAGGCCAAGGACTTAGTAGCTTCCCTCCGTGCCACAGTGAAATTAAGTGAATAGACCTTGACCGTAGTTATTTACTGGTGAGCTTGTTATCAGCTCACCAGTTAATCCTAACTGGATCCTTGGATTTATCTTTTAATAATATCCGAGTATTAAATATCAGCATGTCTGCTTGTTTTGTCTTTGAACTGTTTTGAACTGCCTATTTGATTTCATGACGTGTGTTATGACGTATGTCTATATCAGCATACCTGCCTTATTTACCTGCATGCAGGCTTAATTCTCTCTTCTGGACTGATGCAAACTCCTGTTTATCTGATCTATTTACATGTGTGCTAGACTAAGCCGTTTTGGCAGACAGGTGTTTTGTTAAATCCCCTGTCTTTGCCTGTCTCCAATGATGCTGTGGCTGATATGTGGTATTTGATGTGTGATGGATATCTTGTTTGTATATCTATCCCCCACTTGCTGAATATCTTTATTTTACTGGGAACAGACTCAGCTCTTGAAATTTAAATTTACTACAGGTCATCTGTAGTTCTCTGGGGGTTACTGCTCAATTATGGACTATTTGTTCTGCTTGTTATGCTTGTTTAGTCAGTTTTGTCTTATATCTGACGTTGTTTTTGTTTGCCTTAACTTGTTAACAATGTTGTTCTCGCCACCTGCTCCTTATACCCTATTCTCTGTTAAATGCCTACTTATTTGTGAGTTATTGATTCAATTAAAGGATTAAAAGTCATTCATCTCAACATCAGGAGCCTTGCTACAAAAATCTATCTTCTCAGGATATGGGCGACTTTACATAAACCTAATATAATCACTATTTCTGAATCATGACTTCATAACAAAATCACTAATGATGAAGTGGGAATTGATAATAATGTTTTATATAGAGCTGATAGGACATCAAGAGGAGGAGGTGTGGCTACTTATGTTGATACAAATCTGGTCGCTGAGTGTGTCAGAGTGTTGCGCCTACTAACTTTGAGTGTCTTTTTACTAATATAATTTTTCATGAAAACAAACGGCTTACTATTGGAAATATTTATAGACCTCCCTGTACTCCCACTGATTCCTTAAATGGTATCTTGGCTACTATTAATTCTCTTGACAGACACAATGAATTGATCATACTGGGTGACATTAATAATAACTGGTTGGATCGGTCTTCCTCTGGTGATAGAAATCTTTTAGGCAGTGTAAGCCTTACTCAGCTATTTAAAGAACCCACGAGAGTTGATGGCCGTTCTTCTTCCTTGCTTGACTGGATCCTTGTTTCCAATCCGGATTATCAAATCGGGTGTTTACTATTCAAACAAAGGAATAAAGCTTGGGCTAAATATTGCTTCTCAAAAGATGAATCTGATGGGACAATATATAGACAGTTAAGGAACAAATGTAAAACTGAAACAAAATAACAAAAATAAAAAAACTTCTGTGAAACAAATTTGCAAGGATAATGACATTTTTTCTGATCCCTTGCGTACAGCTCATGCCTTTAATCATCATTTTTCGTCTTTATATAGTTCAAAATCTGTTTGCTCTGATAGTTTGGCATGGTCTTCTAATTCTTCCATGACATTTGGCTTTTTTTCATTTTAAAAAGACCATGCCTACTGATGTCTTTAATGTATTACATGACCTTAAATTAAAGTGCAGTGCAGGACCAGATGATCCGGTAGACAAGTTTATCAAAATTGCAATTTCCTCTTGCAGATCTTTTTAATCTATCATTAACTACCTGTACTGTGCCACAAATTTGGAAAACTGCAAGACTAACACCTCTTTTCAAAGGTGGAGACCAATCAAATGTGAATAATTATTGCCCGATTTCTATCATTTGTGCAGTTGCTAAAATATTTGAGAAATTAATTTTTCAACTCACTGAATACATTAATAATTATAACATTTTATCTCCACATCAATCTGGCCTTAGATCCAATTTTTCTACTTCAACTGCTCTCTTAAAATTTACAAATGATGTCTTCTCGGGTTTTGATAATGGTCATTTCATTGGTGCTGCTTTCATTGATCTCTCAAAGGCCTTTGATATGGTTGACCATTACCTTCTACTGGATAAGCTTTACTCTATTGGTTTGAATAAACATGCTGTGCTCTGGTTTAACTCCTATTTGCATAATAGACATCAGTGTGTTGTTTACCAACAATTCCAGTCAGATTAATTCAATTCAATTCAATTAGCTTTATTGGCATGAATGTGTAACAACAGTATTGCCAAAGCATCATACAACATAAGAACAATCAACCCCATACATGACATTAAACAAGTAATCAAAGCGTAAAGTAATCAAAGCGTATGTGTCATTGTGTTAAAAAAATAAAAATATATAAAAAATTAAATTTTTCTTAATTTTTTTTTCTCACTTTATTTCACCCATTGTTTTGCTCTGCCTGCCTCCCTGTGTTCTCCTCCTCTCTCCCTCGGCTCCTGAGCCCAGCCAACTACCTACACCTGCACCTCATCAGCCACCTCGTCAGCCTGCCACACCTGCCAGTAATCAACCTCATCCCAGCCTGTATTTCAACCCCGGTTCTCCACACCATCCTTGCTTGATCGTCGTTGCTTCTTACCCGGTGCCACCTCTACGTCCAGGCTCTCGTGTCCCTTGTTTTTTTTTTTCTCATTTTCCCTGCATTTTGTCGCTCCAGTCACTAACCCTGTCTTTCTGTCTGTTTTCCCTCCCAGGTTCACTCACCCTCGTCATCCGTTCAGTCGGCTGGGCTCATCCTCCGGTCCTCTCCTCTCGGGCTTCCTCCACGGCGCCCTCCCGGCTCCTCCCTGCTCCTCGCCTCACCACCCGTGCCTCGCCTGCTCCTCGGTCCTCCGTGCCCGCGTCCCCTGGCATCCACCTCTCCTCCCTCACCTCTTCCCTAGCCCCCTCCGTGAACCCTCAATAAAACCTCCTTCCCTCTGAGTGTTGCGTTTGGGTCCTTTCTGTCCCGTCTCCTAACAACTAACTATGAATATAACAGACATTTTCTCATTTCACTTTATTTTTCATCATTTTCTCAACAGCAGCAGCTGGAAAAACTATTCTCTGGTTATAAAGAAGATCACAGTCGAGGATGTTGGTCGTTATTACTGTCAACAGTACCAATCAGGACAAAAACAAGCTCTAGACTCTCAGGTTCATCTGTCTGTTATTAACAGTAAGTATTTACGTCATAATGTTTTCAGCTCAAACTGTCTTGTTAGAACAATATACTGAAACATTACAATAATTATGATCACAGTGATGAAGTTAACTTTACTCTTGTTGTCTTTCTCTCACAATATCTCCATCTTCACAGTGACTGAACGTAAGGACAATGATGAGGTGACATTAACCTGCTCTGTGTTGACACATAGACAATGTAGGCTCACGACCACAGTGAAGTGGCTGTATGTGGGTAAATATAACCAAGCTGTGATGACATCAGTCTTCAGAGTGAGAAAAGACACGCAGGTTCATAACATCACTGTGTTATGTTGTTTGGGATTTTCCGATGTCTGTTGTTTCATCAGTAAAGGGTTAAATGTTTTGAAATTCTCTGCTCATTGGATGTTGACAAATCAGTATTTTGAAATGTTCCTCACATTCGTACGGAGTCACACCCAGAAACAAACAAACCTTAAGGAAAGAGGAAAAAGGTTGAAGGATTTTCTCAACCTATGGCCAAGTAGCCCTTCAGTTTTTTGGTAATGAAATAACAGAGATTTAAAAGTTTCGCTCAAATTTTAACACCATGCTTTACACTTCCAAATAATTTAGTTGGTTAAATTGGGGCCAATTCACTCATTCATTTTTGTAGAGCTTTCAAAGACATCTCGACCACGAAATTTAGCTGAAAGCTCTGGAAAGAGCTATTAAGTAGACCTTGAGTTAAGAGTTTGTGTGTGTGTGTGTGTGTGGGGGGGGGGGGGGTTGCTGTTGCTGATTGTGTTTGTAATAAATGCAGTTTTTTAACAAAAGTAAATGATTTTCAAAGCACAAAATTATCTTGAAATTCACCAAAACAGTTGTAAAAGTGAAAATAGACAAAATATTATAAATGCACATTAATGACACTAAGAGTCAACAGACATACTAGCAGCTCTGTGAGGCTGTTATGTATTAAGGAGAACAGAGGCTATAGGAACAGTGGTACTTTGAGCTAAATGCTTACATTGTAATGTTTAGCATGTTAACAATCTCAGTTTAGTGTCTTCGCATGTTAGCATTTGCTAATTAGCAATAAACACAAGGTCCTGAGGCTGATGGGAATGTTAATAGTTTTATAGGTGTTAAAGGTCATAAACTGTAATTGAAATATTAACATTTTTGAGCCAGTGAAAGCCCTAGATGAAAATTAACCCATTTCAGATCATCACCAATCACCAACACATTTAAATATCTAAACTGTAGCTTAGACATAGTAGTAGAAGTAGCAGAGGTGTGGATCTCAATGACTTGGACTCAAGTCAGACTCCAGTCACAAAAATGAAGACTTTAGACTCGACTTGACAAAATCAAAGAAGACTTGCGACTCGACCTTGACTTTAACACCAATGACTCGTGACTTCACTTGGACTTGAGCCTTATTTTGACTTGAGCTGACTTGACACTCCCTATGCCCAAATATAAATTAGGCTATGATATAAACTTTTGTAGCACATCAACACAGCCTAGCTCAATTAGACGTGGCTTCCTCCAGCAAAAGGGAACAATCACCGATCATCCGAAGCGCGGCCGGTGCCGAACTTTGCCTGCCTGCCGAGAATTGCATGCACGTCCAAATAATGCTTTTAAACGCTGCAATATTCTTTGCGGGCTTCATCAATGGTGATAAATGATTCGAAGTATATATTTTATGAACGTTTAGAGTCTTTAATATTTTAATACATTTAGTAGAAGTACCATTCCTTGACATTCAGTAAATAAATGTGGTGATAATGCTGTTTGATCAATGAGCACAGCAAAGTGTCTGAGAAAGACCCAAAGAGGGGAATGCATAATTCGGCAGATCAAATTTTGTAGGCTACCTGCCGAGATTTGCATCCACCTCTTTTCTCAGCATAAATGACTGTTATCACCCATGAGGTGCGTGCAATTCTCGGCAGGCAGGCAGAATTCGGCACAACACCGGCTGCTCCGCGATCTCCTGTCCCTGTACGCCCCAGCGACCCACTCCCTCTCCGGTACCTGCAATGGGTTGTGTAGCAGGCCTATTACCGGCGCGCTGTGAACCGTTCGTGATCGGACCCTCTGGCTGGATGAATTTTACGCATAATTCATGCACAACAGCTGGGGCCCTGACGCAGCGCCACACAACTTTCTAAATTCCTCCATCTCACGGAGAAAAGAAAGGTCAGGTCGAAACAGTGTAGAGACTGCCGCAGCCAGGGCCGGCCCTGGGCATAGGCGGAATAGGCAAATGCTAAGGGCGCCGCCCACCCCTTGGGGCGCCCGAGCGCCCAAATTATTTTTTTAATATATTTTTTTATTACTAATACAACTTAAATATTATGGATTTAAAAAAGCGATCGTGAATCCCGGGGGAATCCTGAATCCCCGATCCCCCCGGTCCGACTGAGTGACGCATCAATCTCCATCGCCCCTGCCCTGCTGAAAAAAAACCCCATCCGTTACCTGTGTGTGATTGTGAGTGACGGATGGCCGAATTCACTGACACTGACAAGTTGTTATTATGTCAAAAAGACCGAAACCATCTGGTGCCCAGGGAAGAAAAAGAAGAAGATAAGAGGAAGAAAAACGCGAAAAAGACAGAGGTAGGTAATGATGTGTGATCAGTTTATCTGTGTTGCATTAAGTTAGTTCGACGATCACAATGTCTGTAACGTTCGCTAATTTGAATTGAAACTTGTATTAGAAATGCAAAACTTTCCACATCTGCCATCAAAAATTATGACAAACATTGAGCTCCTGACTTTCCTGCACGAGAAGAAGCTGATGGGATTTTTCCCCAATATGTGGGTCGCTCTGAGAATCTCTGCCACTCTACCTGTGACAGTCGCTGCTGCAGAAAGGAGCTTCTCTAAGCTCAAACTGATTAAAAACTACCTGAGATCTACAATGGCTCAAGAACGTCTCAGTGGACTTTCAGTCATTAGCATAAATCATGTGGTCTCACAACAGCTGTCTTATGATGATATCATAGATGACTGGGCTAGAAAGGCAAGGCGAGTAAGGCTGTAGAACATTTGCTAAACATTTTGCATAGTGCATTCAAGTTTGTGTATAGTTATTTATTTTTTGTGCAATGGTCTTATTTATAATTTTTGGAATGTTACATATGCTGAAAGCAAGGTTTCTGTAATATAGTTTTTTCTGCAATAACATAATATAATATATACATATTTATATTGTATCTATAATAGGTTGTGTGTTTGTGTTTCCAAAATATTTTCAAAATAAAGAAAAACAAGACAAACCTGTGGAGTTTGTTTCTGTGTAAGTTTATGAACAAAAATCCAGGGGCATCAGGTGAAATCTTGCATAGGGCAGCAAATTGGCCAGGGCCGGCCCTGGCCTCAGCTGTTGCATGAAGCTGCTTCCACCAATTATCAAAACAAGTTAATTAAGATAAAACGATAATAGCGCCGGGTGCTGTTTCACAACGACACTCGTTTTGTTTTATAAATCCAGCGCACCTCTTTCCTTTACAGCTGACAGCTCGTCCCTGTCTAAGAGGTGTGTTCAGTGTTTCTTTACCTGATCGGTGCTTGTAAAATATCCACGGTGTCTGCGTCTTCTAACGTCATAGCGATTTATAGTTTTCTCACCGCTGGTTTCTGTCACTGCATCTCACGACAAAACAACACGGTTGTATTTCAGCGTTCTTCAAGTAACTTCATCAACTCGAGTAGTTCACCTGTCACCTGCTCTGCTCCCTCCGTGTACACACACACACACACACACACACCTACCCAAACACACGCACACACAGAGCCCCCTCAGTGACCCATCCTTCACCCAAAGCTGTCAACTTGGGTGAAACTGCTGCTGTTGTCCTCTTGCACTGTAGATGCTGCTTAAAGTTAATAATGTTGGATTATTGTTTCTTATTTCTTGAGCTATATGGGATTTTGGAGCAATGCATATAATAGTTTTTAAAAAGAAAGTGTTACATTTTAGAAGTTAAATAGTTTAATGTTTCCTAAGGCAGTGAGTAATCCTGTTAAATTATTGTGATCTCAATATTGACCTAAATAATTAGCAGCCCTACATGAACATTTAATTTATTTCATGATATTATAGAACATTTGTTGTGTGAAACTGCACCTCTGCCTTCCTTCTGTACAGGCTAATGCTTCATTCAATACCATCCATCCATCGTCAACCGCTTATCCTGCGTACAGGGTCGCGGGGGGCTGGAGCCAATCCCAGCTGACATCGGGCGAAAGGCCGAGTACACCCTGGACAGGTTGCCAGTCCTTCGCAGGGCCACACATAGACAGACAACCACTCACATTCACATTGCTTCATTCAAAACATTTTTTTTATTTTTAACTTATAAAAACTTGTGAAATGTTTTTTACATTTGAAGAGCGCATTATGACTTGTGTAGGACTTGAAACTCAAAGTTTAAGACTTGCCAGTCATGATCGGTCTGGACTTGGGACTTGAGTGCTAAGACTTGAGACTTCACTCGGACTTATAAAACGATGACTTGGTCCCACCTCTGAGAAGTAGTGACATTTGAAATATTTCTTGTGTTTTCATCTTTATTCCAGACTGGTTGAGGTTCATCATTGTGTCTGTGGATTTAGCAGCACTCATAATAATTGTTGTGGCAGTCAACATCTGGACAAGAACTAAAGGTGAGAACATTCACAGATGTGTCCAGTCCATGTGTGCTGTCAAACATCACCATGGATCTTGTCTGTTTTCTAATAAACACTATCTGAAGAAAACAAGTTGCATTATTCCAAACATTTATCATAACTAACAATCTTCACACCTTCAACTTCATCTTCTTCTTCTTTGCAGGTGGTGAAACCCGTCAACTCTCATTAACTCTGATGGCTGCATCTCATATTACTGATCAATAATTTGGGGTCTCTGTCAGTCACTGTAGATGGGAGAAAACTGCATTTCAAAAATGTAAAAGTAAAAATTGTAACAGAGTTTTTGGCTGTTTGGACATCGACAAGAAATTCAGAGAGACTCTAAAACAGACTAAAAGTCACTATGAGGAAGTGACATCATCCTAACCACAGGAAGTAGCTGCAGCGTCTCTCTACTAAAGCACTAGTTTAGAAACTCAGACAGTTCTGAGCACGAGAACAAGAGACAGAAGAAGGAGAGACTCAGAGAATCATGATGGTTGAGTTCAAATGGATTTCTTTATTTCTTACAGCGGTGCTTCAGTTTACAGGTAAGAATACATATATCACATATATAAATGGAAGGCACATTGTAAAAAATAACTTGATCAATATTATTAAAGATTCTTTATTAGCTACATTTGATTTAACTAAGAAAACCAAATCTGTTGTTTCTAATGTGGTGAGTTTAGTGAACTCTTGGAAACTAAGGATAAAGAAATAATCGTCACTAACTATGAACATAACAGACATTTTCTCATTTCACTTTATTTTTCATCATTTTCTCAACAGCAGCAGCTGGAAAACTTCCCCCCTCCTTCACTGTCAGAGTTGGAGATGACGTCACTTTGCCTTGTGAAAATGTGATAGACGATCAGCAAGAATGTGAATATACTACATGGCTCTTCAGTGGTTCAGGAAACACAGCAGCAGTAGAGCTGGTTAAACATGGACAGATTGTTGAAAACACCAAATCTAAATCAGACAGACTGAGTGTTACAGAGAACTGTTCTCTGGTTATAAAGAAGATCACAGTCGAGAATGTTGGTCATTATGACTGTCAGCAGTTCATAACAAAGGGAGGACAACAACATGGTGAAAACTCTCAGGTTTATCTGTCTGTTATTAACAGTGAGTATTTCCATCATAATGTTTTCAGCTCAAACTGTCTTGTTAGAACAATATACTGAAACATTACAATAATTATGATCACAGTGATGAAGTTAACTTTACTCTTGTTGTCTTTCTCTCACAATATCTCCATCTTCACCAGTGACTGAACATACGGACACTGATAAGGTGACGTTAAACTGCTCTGTGTCGACATACGAACACTGTAGTCACACAGTGAAGTGGCTGTATGAGGGTAAAGATGTGGACAAAGATAACCAAGATCTGAAGACATCACAGTATTCCTGCAATGCCTCTGTGAGCTTTCTGACTTCTCATTACATTTACACATCGAGACATAACCAATTTTCATGTGAAGTGACTGATGGTGACAAAGTGCAAGTGTTTCCCTTCAGATTTCTGCCTTCAGGTGAGAAACCAGGTGAGAATATGATGAGCTTTTTAAAGTCACTTAAAACTATAGTGAATATTTACAGTGAATATTTGTTTATTTCATGGATGTGAAGTTTTAATATTAAATCACAAAATAGGTTTGTTGAGTTGTGTTCATCTGTTCAGGTGAGGACACAATACCAACAAACATGGCTGACAAATGTTTTCGACCCACACTCACTCCGCTTTTCTTTGTAACACAAAACAACAAAAGAGTTATTTTATTGTTTTAACACCATTTTTTACACATAAAAACATTTACATGGTTAAATTAGTTGTCTTAAACAGTCTGATTTGTTAAAACTGTCAAATCAATGTTTAAACATTTTTGCTCCTCTTTAAGCTACAGGATTTTGAATAGAACAGAAAGCTGTGGCCAAAATGCTTAAAAGAATTTTATTATTTTTCTAGATTGGTGGTGGTTGTACATCATTGTGACTGTGGCTTCAGTTGCACTATTAATAATTGTTGTAAAAGTCATCAGATGGAAGAGAGCTAAAGGTGAGAACACACTTTTATAACAACAAGATGTTTTGATAAAACTGGATTTTCTCTGTGGAAACTGATGTTGACCCACTTTTTGTCTTTTCAGGGAACAAAGCAGGGATGAATGACAATATTGTGAGTTTAAAAACTGTTCTCCTACATTTTGATTCTATACCTGACAAAGGATAACATAAGGTAAACAGTACTAATTGTTTTAAAACTATGTTACTGTAGCAGCAAAAGTCAAGGAAGTGATTGTGAGGAAAAGCAAAACGGGGCCCGAGTTACGTCTGTTGGAACCAAGACGGCAGCCGCGATGGTGGAGATAGTCATGTACCTACTAACAGTGTGCAGACATGCCCTTTGCCCTGCAGTTAAAATGTGTAACAATGCAAAGAATTTTATATGCTTATTATAGGCTTTTAAAATATCAATCTGTAAATTAACTTGTAACTACAGCTGTCATGGGGCTGCCCTATTCAAGCCAGTGGTAGCATTGGTCTTAGCATGCTAAGCTAACTTTAGGATGAGTATTAGCATAGGACTTTTAGGTTTAGCATTACCTTTAGCATGTGGGCTAGGCTTGTCATTTCATTTCAGTTCATTTAAATACTAGTCGAAAGAGTAGAAATCATGATTAGATAATTAAAACACATACACAGTTAATTTCAAGTCATTTATTTTAGGTTATTGGATCTACCCAAGGTTATGTTTCATTCACCTGTTCTCACCAAGGGGGTAAGCCACAGTTCAAACAGTGAAGCCGACCAAAGCCTGCATGGACGGTTCCATGTAGGCCCAAAAATAATGTCAAAACCCTGTGACATCCCATCACATAACATGACCTTTTTGCAGAAGTAATAGAATTTGAAATGTTGACTGTGATAAAATAGAGTGTCAGTATTAATCCACAAGTTACTGAGCAGCCATTATGTTAATTTCTCTAAAGGCTGATCCTGAAAATGGTGTTACTTACGCCACTGTCAGCTTCACCGCAAAGACCAACAGTGAAGGCCGGGTAAGCTGAATGAAGAAGAATTGTTTTTTAGGAATTACTCCCTGTTAACATTTAAGTGCAACACTTGAATGTTGGATATCATTAATGCTTCTTCTGTTATCTTTAGTAGTGTCATGGTGCATGTCATGTCCTGCTGCTTTATTTATATTGTGTTGTTTCCCACCAGGTTCAGAGTAAAAATGATGCTGATGAAGGCGATGCAGTGACCTACATGACTGTGAAAGCTTCCTCTGCTGATCCCAGCAACTTCTACGCTACAGTCAACTGACCAAACAAATCAAACTCAAGTCATCAGATCTTTGCTTAAATCTTTGTTTTATGATAATTTTCAAGATGGATTATTGTAAAAAGATTCTTATTCACAACGGGGTGAAGTTGGTTAACTAGTGGCACAATGTAAAACAAAAAAAGTAATTACCCAACATTTATATTGGTGGTTGCTTGAAAACTAAATGAGCATGACATATGACATTTGCTTGATGAACTTGCTGTGATTAATGTGCTAATCTTAGGTTATAGTTCAAGGTTAATATGTTTATTTTCCTTTTTTTATTTATTATTTATCTTGTCTTAAATTGGTGCCTGTGATTATTTCATATGCAAAAATTTATCAAGGTTGAGCAACTTTACAGATTCTTGGTGTTTGTCATTATTTTCATATTTTGCTCTTGTTTGATATGCAGTATTTTGACCATGTATGTCTTAGTTCAGTTAGCTTTAAATATCCTGGTGTCAAAGTATATAAAGGAAACTAAAAGAAGGTGGGATGTGACATATTTTATTTGATCTGCATAAATGATGTCAACCTGAGAAGTTGTGTTAAACACAGAATGTGTGAAAACTGTGGAAATCTTTGAATCATGTCACTATAAATATGACTAAGTTAGACTAAAATAATGATGAGCCAATATGAAGAAGTGACGCCTTACTGATCACAGGAGGTAGGTAGGCCTAATGTATTTCTCTTTAAGGATAAACTAGCTTGAAGACTCGTAAAAATCTAAGAAAAACAGAGGAAAGACACAGAGATGCATAATGGTTAAATTCAGATTGATTAAAATGTATTCATGCCTGTTTTCTCTTTGACACCTGCCTGTGGTAAATCTTAGAAATGCTGCCTTGAAAAGAAAATTAAACAATTTATTTGGAGCCTAACAGTAGGTATGTAAACAAAATTTTCAACATGGTTAAATGCTAAAACAAATTGTACAGATAGAAAGAGCTTGAAATATCCTTTAAAATGATACCAAGACCATGTTTATATGTTCAATAATCGCACAACACTGGTCATTTGACAGCCAAAAGTAGTCCCTTTATTTTGTCCTCTGTTTTCCACTGAAGTCAAAGCAAAAGGTGTGACCCTGCGGCACAGCTAAAGCACACTCTGCTGGCTGCTTCTTACGTTGTTAGCCAATGGAAGCAGATTTTGCGGGCAATAAAACTCCCAAGGTCGTCATTCAAATTCATTGAAAATTTGTTCACTTGTATAGTTTAGCAACTAAACTAAATGTCTGTTACAGTTTAAAGAATCTTTTTACTCAAAGCAGCAAAAAACAAGACAATTTTGTGACTGACAAACTTTGGCTTGCTCAAAATACCAGTATTTCAACGGGAAAGACGGAGACTTGAAATGAGGAGGTATCTATGGTTTTTCAGGTGGTGTAATCAATCAGAACCCGGAAGTTCCACAAAAAACAAGCCAACAGGAGCAATTATTTTCATAACACTGCAAGTTGCCAGGGAAAATCCCGAGTTACGTCTGTTGGAACCAAGACGGCAGCCGCGATGGTGGAGATAGTCATGTACCTACTAACAGTGTGCAGACATGCCCTTTGCCCTGCAGTTAAAATGTGTAACAATGCAAAGAATTTTATATGCTTATTATAGGCTTTTAAAATATCAATCTGTAAATTAACTTGTAACTACAGCTGTCATGGGGCTGCCCTATTCAAGCCAGTGGTAGCATTGGTCTTAGCATGCTAAGCTAACTTTAGGATGAGTATTAGCATAGGACTTTTAGGTTTAGCATTACCTTTAGCATGTGGGCTAGGCTTGTCATTTCATTTCAGTTCATTTAAGTACTAGTCGAAAGAGTAGAAATCATGATTAGATAATTAAAACACATACACAGTTAATTTCCAAAAATTATGTCAAAACCCTGTGACATCCCGTCGCACATGAGAGATGTAACCGTATTGCTTAGATTATAAACTCTCAGTGAATCTAAAACAACTATTTGGCGATCAGTAAAACTACTTAGGTATTTGACAGGTGAGCCTCGTAGGTGGGCTTATTAAACAGTGACGATCCGAGTCAGACAAACACACTGAGCCATGAAACCTTTTGTTGGTGCAGCTATGCAGCTACTACGGTGGTTCTGCCGTTGCTTTATGTCATTAAACCACGGTTATGATGTGCGATCATCCGCAATAGATGCTGGTGCCAACAGGAAGCAGCCCTCTAGTACTATTTTATTGGTCCAAAACTGCCTTCACTGCTCTCCATTCAAATCAGCAGGGTGGCTTCGTCTAGTAATATACTGTCTATGGTTCTCATCTTCAAGAAGGGATCTGGGTCGAAGTGGCAAACAGGAAGCGATGGAGTCTGGAGTAATTTATAGGGGGGAAGACCTGGAATGGTCCAAGTGTAAGCCAGTACAGAGGGATGTACTGGAGCATATCTACTGGACAATGCCGGATTACAGCACAGAGCACAGCTAGGGGATGCAGTGCACATGCCTTCATATCCACATGACATATTTTCAATGGCAAGAGCAACAAACGGAGGAGCGATGATCACTTTCAAGAAAGGTCACAGTCACATGGTTACCAAAGACGGAAGCAGGTTGGACATCCACTAGAGTGGAAATTTGTATTACTTGCCAACTGTGATGGAATTTGTTGACCAATGTAAAGGGTGTCATGATGCACAAACTTGGCATGAATGTTTGGGTCATTGCAACTACAAAGATGTGCAGAAGTTTCAAGGTGTGGTGAAAGGCATGGAGATAAAAGGAAATACAGTCAAACCAGATCAGTTACATGAAGTGTGTACACAGGGAAAATTCACACTGACAAGAAACAGGGCAGACAGAAAGGCTTAGAAACCCTCAGGACTAGTCCACATTGATTTTGCCGGTCCCATGTCAACACCAACCATGGAAGGACACAGATATGTATGTGGCAGGATGAGGTTTTTTTCCCTCCCTCTTACCAGGAAGGTGCACCAGCACACCTGGGGCTCATCCCCTTTGATTAGGTGAGGTGGAGAGCTGCCTTTTTAAGCCTGTGTGGTAGACTCACTTGGGTTTCTGTCTTCTCCTGTTGGGTGTGGAGACGCGTCTGGGCTGGCATGCTGCACGTTTGTTACCGTGGCCAGAGGTTGTTAGTTTACTGCGGGGTGGTAAGGAAGTCCTTTTATTTTTGTGCCTTTCAGTGTTTGCATTGTTGGGCGGGTGGCACTAATGAGCGTTCTCTCATAGAGCTGACTTTGTTTCGGCTGTGGATAGATGAATACCTGGGCTGCTGGTGTTGGGTGCCTCGGTAAGCTGCGTGCCTCCCTCTTCGTCCTATTTGGTATCAAGATCTGATAGTCTTGTTATAGTTGGGTACTGTGTGGCTGCGGGGATTGCTTGCCCCTCTGCCGGGGTCTGGGGGTGGCGTGTCCCGTAAAGCTGCAAGTACCTTGTTTGCCTGTTTGCTACAATTTATCGTGGCCCTGTTTTTAATGGTGTTTTCACATCACAGTGGGACCGAACTACAGCCATGTGCATGCTGCTGTCGAGGCTGCTGGGTGCCACAGTTATCCAAGAGGTTACCACTCCTCAGCGTGTTTCTCCTCCCACTCTTGCTGTTCTGAATATCGGTATAAAACTTTGCTGTGTATTGATACACTGTCTGGATATATGACTGTCCTGGATGCACAGAACTGGTTTGGAGTAATACATTTTAAGTGTTTGAATATCCAGACATTGTCTCTGTAAATATTGGTATTAACTGGATGTATATTGCATGTGGGTTTGTTTGTGTTCTTTGTTTGATTTTGATCCTTTAATTATGCATGTGGATCTGTTGATTTGAATGGTGTTTTTCTCTAATACACATTACACATCTTTTCTTAATAGAGCAGGTGTTTTAATATGACAAAAGAAAAATGTTTTTTTATAATTACTTGATTGTCTCTGCCCCCTAATTTTGATAAAACTATCTGTGTGCTTTAAGGGTCTTGGGCCTAGCCCAAGTGGCGTTGTCGGACACTTTCAGCTTCTCAAGTGTTATAGACGGCTCGTTTCTGCCACACGTACATGGGTACTATATTTGTGTAAACTGCAGAAATTGTGATCAATTTGTCAGCTTATCTAGTGTATTACCCAGAGCAGAGAGGGTCAAAAGCACAGGTTGGTGATATTTGCAGCCAAGAAAACCATAGAAAAGGAAACACAACTGTCATACATAAAATATGATCACAACACTTCATCTCTGTGGCAGATAACTGAGTTGTAACTGACAGTGAGTTCAGGTGCTGTCACATTAGTTATCTCCTGTGTTAAATGTGGGTCAGTGATGTGAAAGTTGTTGCCTCTACTAGCAGTACAACCTCCCTCCTCTTGTTCACTTCTAGTAGTAAGCCTTTCATGTGTTGAGTTGAAGAACTCTGTTCTCACTGGGGACTCAAATGTGTCTAAATACAGAGAAATCCACTCAAAGTGACTTTATAATCCACAAAGAGGTAATAACTACATACTTAGCGATGTTGTGGATGTACATGACCACCTACTCTGTAAATACATTTCACACATCTGAAATGTCAAACTAGTCGTGTCTGCAGTCAGTATACAGTGTGAAAAACCTCCAAACCACAGGTGAAGAAATGACACCAAACTCAATCATCACTGTCCCAACAGACTTGTCAAGGTTTTAACTTTTTGTTGCATATAGTCTAAACAAAATTTGATAAAAATCTTTGTCCCACTGAATTGTCAAGTGTCTGTTCCTGTGAGCATCGTGTGTTTCTGATGTTTATCTGGTCATCATTAGATAGTAACTCCTCCAGAGCTCTGCTGCTGCTGTTAACCACATTCTCACCAAAACACTTTCACCTCAGTTCTTATATTAAAATAACTGTAAATATACAACCAGCAGATCTCAGACCAGTAAAAATCATATCTGTGTTCTTCACCAGCTGCTACAGTATCACCATGGACATGGGTCTACATGTAAGGATTGTGATGTCAGTGTGTCAAACACTCTGGTCCAGAACAAAATATCTCACCAACGAGCGGCCAGAGGAGCTCAGTAAATGTACAAACAGATCTTTAACAGCACATCTTCAAACTGAACTGACTGGACTGACTCACTGTTTTGTGTTGTGTTGCTCTTTGTAATGTTGTTTGCTGTTTCATTATTGAGCTTTGTGTTTATGTGCTGCTGGATATCATAATGTTGCATTTACCTGCATTATTCTGTCTCATTTAATGTTGTGTAATTTCTGTGTTGTGCTGTTTGTCTCTTTTCCAGGTTCTGGGTAAAGATGGTGATGATGAAGATGATGCAGTGACCTACAGCAGCGTGAAAGCTTCCTCTTCTGCTGCTGGAGCCTCAGCTGATCCCAGCGACCTCTACGCCACCGTCAACTAACCAAACGAATAAGAAACCACAGTGTAGTTACAGCTCATATCATTACAGGTAATTTACACTGATCAATATTTTTATTAGACTTCATTTATGATCATTTTCAGGATTTATTGTTGTAGCACACCTTTTAGTCCAGAAGGGGGTGCAGTAGGTTAAGTAGTAGCACAATAACATTATCTGGCTGCTTGAAATGTAACTGATCATAATATGTGGTACATTTAGCTTGATGAACTTGCTGTCAGGCACTTTAATGTGCTAGTGCTGTGTTGTAGTTTAACATGTATTAGTTTTTTTACTGTTATTGCTGTTGTACGATATGTCAGTTTAACTTCCATATCTCTGTTCAGGTTATTTTTTATGTTCTGGTGTGAAAGTAATTAAAGCAAACTAAGAGGAAGTGGGACAACGCTCATCTTGACTCAGTCACTTTTGAGAATTGAATTAAACAGTTGAATGAGAGGAAACTGTGGAAACACATAAGGGTTAAATTTTCACTGGTGTTAATCCCAGATACTTCAGGTCAGTGTGAACTTCATACCAGCTCACGTCAGCCAGAAGAGAAGGAAGTCTGCCTACATTAAAAGCAACAACTGACATGACGAGAAGAAAAAGGACAGTCGCTATGAGGAAGAGAGGATATTATAATTAGAGGAAGTAAAAACAATTCTGTTTAAGAAGCAACTCATTTAGAAACTTACAAGTAGAAGAATTGGAGAGAAAAGAGAGACAGAGAATCACGATGGTTGAGTTCAAATGGATTAAAACATCTTTATCTCTGATGCTGGTTCTTCCATTTACAAGTAAGACTATGTATGACATAAATAAGACTGACATAAACAATAGAAAAGCAAATGTATTAATATCCTTAATATTAATTTATTACCTTCATTGAACCATGACAGCAAAGTAGTCTGTTTTCCAGTGTGCAGAATGATGACTTTAGTGAACCATTTAAATCCAAGAATGAGGCACATTTGCAAAGTTTTGTTGTACCTTAAATTATCCTTACACTGAAAATAATATTTAATTGTCTCATCTTCTCAACAGCAGCAGCTGGAAAACTTCCCCTCTCCTTCACTGACAGAGTTGGAGATGAAGTCACTTTGCCTTGTGAAAATGTGATAGACAATCAGCAACAATGTGAATATACTACATGGCTCTTCAGTGATTCAAGGAACACAGCAGCAGTAGCGCTTGTTGAACTTGAAGATTGGTGAAAACACCAAAGCTAAATCAGACAGACTGAGTGTTACAGAGAACTGTTCTCTGGTTATAAAAACAGTCACAGACGAGGATGTTGGTCGTTACACCTGCAGACAGTTCATTTCAGGACAACAACAAGGTCCAGACTCTGTGGTTCTTCTGTCTGTTATTAACAGTGAGTATTTCCATCATAATGTGTTCAGCTCAAACTGTCTTGTGAGAACAATATACTGAATGATTACAATAATTATGATCACAGTGATGAAGTTAACTTTAATCTTATTGTCTTTCTCTCACAATATCTCCATCTTCACCAGTGACTGAACACAAAACAAGTTTATTGAGTTGTATTCACCTGTTTAGGTAAAGACACAACAACAACAACTGAAAACAGCATAAAAGCAGGTATCACCACAACAGCGTCTGCAATCATAGATGATTCAACCGAACAACCAAGCAGTAAGTTGACATTTTGATGTGTCTGGTTCTACTAAATTCAGAGAGCAAAGATATGCAGGCAAACAAACTTTAGATACTGACAGACACTTTGTGTATCTGTTTTATGTTTGGAGTTTTCTGTTTCATTAGTAAGTGGTTGAACGTTTTGAAATGCTCTTCACGGTGTTGACATCAGTATTTCAAAATCTACCTTACATTTATACAGACTCAAAGACAGAAGCAAACAAACCTTTTGGAAAGAGAAAAAGGTTTAAAATATTTCTCAAGCTACACCAACCACAAACCCTATTTTTTGGTAACACAAGCTTTCAACCACATCTCAACTGCAACATGGAGTTTATTGGATGCAGTTCTATGTACAGTATGAAAACTGTCTGATTTTGTTGAAACTATCAGAAATGCTTAAAACAATGTAATTTCTTTCCAGATTGGTGGTTGTACATCATTGTGACTGTGATTTTAGTAGCACTAATAATAATTGTTGTAAATGTCATCAGATGGAAGAGAGCTAAAGGTGAGAACACACATGAAACTTTGATAACAAGAAGTTTTGATAAAACTGGATTTCCCTGTGGAAACTTATGTCAACCACCTTTATTGTCTTTTCAGAGAACAAAACAGGGATGAATGACAATGTGGTGAGTTTAAAGACTGTTCTTCTACATTTTTATTCTGTAGCTGAAGAAGAATAAGATAATAACAGCACTGATTGTGTGGTAAAAAAGGGCCTAACTCTCATTTTTGCTTTGCTAATCCTGCCAAAAACATAAATTATAATTTTTAAAGTGCTCACAGAGTTTAATCAACTCCTCTCTGACAGTGTTCATAAAACTGACCATTATCAGCTTCACAGAGCCATTATTGGTGCTGCTCTATTGGATTGCATCTCAAGTAAAATTAAATCCACTGCACTGAAGTTGTAGATTTGAAGACGTTTTTTACAGCCTCTCTACAGAAACCTGCAGCACAGATGTACAACATATGTTGCACAAGTGTTGTGTGTAATGTGCCCTGACAACATCTGCATAAACTGAACTGGAACATGCTTTTTGACCAGTTGTTTGATGTTGTTTTTTTTTTTTTGCTCCAGGGGCTGACCTCAGACCCTGCATTGACTGAGTCTGCTCCAGAAAACAGTCAGGACACGGTGAGATAACAAACCTAGAACAAAGTCAACTCAGTGTTGCTTGCAGTTGTTCTCTGGAAAATTACTGAATCTGACACTCTGTACAGGATTGAGAGTGTGAGAGCGTTCAAGAAAGATAAAGAGGGAAGCTAAATGATGCAACTGGACTACACAGGATGAGAACATGAGAGCACAACACCAAAAACACTATGAAACATTTTGAAACATCATTTACAGAGACATAACATAACAATTTTTGCAGGAGTAATAGAATTTGAACACTTGACACTCTATTTTATCACAGTCAGTATTAATGCACAAGTTACTGAGCAGCCATTATGTTAATTTCTCTAAAGGCTGATCCTGAAGATGGCGTTTCCTACGCCGCTGTCAGCTTCACCACGATGAACAAAAGTAAAGGCCGGGTAAGCTGTCTGATTGGTTGTAGCGGTGATATTGGTGAATGAAGAAGAAATGTTTTTGGGAATGTCTCCATTTTAACATTCTTGAATATTGGATATCATTCAACTTCAGCGTCTTCTGTTATCTTTTATAGTGTAATGGTGCATGTCATGTCGCTTTATTTATATTGTGTTGTTTCCCACCAGGTTCAGAGTAAAAATTATGCTGATGAAGGCGATGCAGTGACCTACACGACCATGAAAGCTTCCTCTGCTGATCCCAGCAACCTCTACGCTACAATCAACTGACCAAACAAATCAAATTCATGTCATCAGATCTTTGCTTAAATCTGTTTGTGTATTACAATCATTTTCAAGATGGATTATTGTAAAAAAATTCTTATTCAAAACAGGGTGAAGTAGTTTAAAAAAATTATAACTTAGGTTATAGTTCAAGGTTAATAAGTATATTGCTATTTTAATTTAGCTTTTATCTAGTCTAGTGCCTGTTATTTTTTCATATGCAATAATTTTTCAAGGTTGAGCAATTTTATAAATTTTTTACTTTTTATTTGACAAGTGAATGATAAACAACATTACATTATAATTAAACATCATACTCATCACTCTCAATATTAGCAAGGGATACTAAATTGCACATTCTGAATATGCGCACAGTTGCACTTGAGTATACAGTGGGTACGGAAAGTATTCAGACCCCTTTAAATTTTTCACTCTTTGTTTCATTGCAGCCATTTTCCAAAAATCAAAAAAGTTCATTTTATTTCTCAGTAATGTACACTCAGCACCCCATCTTGACAGAAAAAAACAGAAATGTAGAAATTTTTGCAAATTTATTAAAAAAGAAAAACTGAAATATCACATGGTCATAAGTATTCAGACCCTTTGCCGTGACACTCATATTTAACTCAGGTGCTGTCTATTTGTTCTGATCATCCTTGAGATGGTTCTACACCTTCATTTGAGTCCAGCTGTGTGTTTGATTATACTGATTGGACTTGATTAGGAAAGCCACACACCTGTCTATATAAGATCTTACAGCTCACAGTGCATGTCAGAGCAAATGAGAATCATGAGGTCAAAGGAACTGCCTGAAGAGCTCAGAGACAGAATTGTGGCAAGGCACAGATCCGGCCAAGGTTACAAAAAAATTTCTGCTGCACTTAAGGTTCCTAAGAGCACAGTGGCCTCCATAATCCTCAAATGGAAGACGTTTGGGACGACCAGAACCCTTCCTAGAGCTGGCCGTCCGGCCAAACTGAGCTATCGGGGGAGAAGAGCCTTGGTGAGAGAGGTAAAGAAGAACCCAAAGGTCACTGTGGCTGAGCTCCAGAGATGCAGTCGGGAGATGGGAGAAAGTTGTAGTAAGTCAACCATCACTGCAGCAATCCACCAGTCGGGGCTTTATGGCAGAGTGGCCCAACGGAAGCCTCTCCTCAGTGCAAGACACATGAAAGCCCGCATGGAGTTTGCTAAAAAAACACCTGAAGGACTCCAAGATGGTGATAAATAAGATCCTCTGGTCTGATGAGACCAAGATAGAACTTTTTGGCCTTAATTCTAAGCGGTATGTGTGGAGAAAACCAGGCACTGCTCATCACCTGTCCAATACAGTCTCAACAGTGAAGCATGGTGGTGGCAGCATCATGCTGTGGGGGTGTTTTTCAGCTGCAGGGACAGGACGACTGGTTGCAATCGAGGGAAAGATGAATGCGGCCAAGTACAGGGATATCCTGGACGAAAACCTTTTCCAGAGTGCTCTGGACCTCAGACTGGGCCGAAGGTTTACCTTCCAACAAGACAATGACCCTAAGCACACCGTTAAAATAACGAAGGAGTGGCTTCACAACAACTCCGTGGCTGTTCTTGAATGGCCCAGCCAGAGCCCTGACTTAAACCCAATTGAGCATCTCTGGAGAGACCTGAAAATGGCTGTCCACCAACGTTTACCATCCAACCTGACAGAACTGGAGAGGATCTGCAAGGAGGAATGGCAGAGGATACCCAAATCCAGATGTGAAAAACGTGTTGCATCTTTCCCAAAACGACTCATGGCTGTATTAGATCAAAAGGGTGCTTCTACTAAATACTGAGCAAAGGGTCTGAATACTTATGACCATGTGATATTTCAGTTTTTCTTTTTTAATAAATTTGCAAAAATTTCTGCATTTCTGTTTTTTTCTGTCAAGATGGGGTGCTGAGTGTACATTACTGAGAAATAAAATGAACTTTTTTGATTTTTGGAAAATGGCTGCAATGAAACAAAGAGTGAAAAATTTAAAGGGGTCTGAATACTTTCCGTACCCACTGTATATCACAGATTTGTAAACATAACTATCTGTCTATTTGTCTTTATTTTCATATTTTGCTCTTGTTTAATATGTAATATTTTGACGATGTATTTCTTTGTTTAGTTAGCTGTAAATATCCTTGTACCAGGTATTTAAAGCTAACTAAAAGGAGGCAGGATATCACAAATTTTATTTGAACTGCATAAATAATGTCACCCTGGATAGTTGTGTTTAACACAGAACTGAATCTTTTCACTATAAATAAGTAATTTAGGAAGAAATTATGCACATAGGAGTAAGTTAGATTAAAATAAGGATGAGTCACTATGAGGAAGTGACACCTTACTGATCACAGGAGGTAGATAATCTATTTCTGTTTAAGGAACATCTACTTTAGAGACTCTTAAAAGTTAAAAGAACAGAGGAAAGTGACACAGAGATGCATCATGTCATGCCTGTTTTTTCTTTGACACCTGCCTGAGGAAGATCTTGTAGATCAAAATGCTGCCTTGTAAAGAAAATTAAACTATTTGGAGCCTAACTGTGTGCAGACATGCCCTGTGCCCTGCTGTAAAAACAATCGTAGACTGTATATGAGAAGTGGACGTAGTCATCGTGACGTCACCTGTTGGTTTGTGGACTGCTGTTTTGAAGCCTCGAGTTTGCCCGATAGGGTGCCACATGTTGAGTTTTTGCAACCAGGAAGTGGCCAGAAGTGACCATATTTGAGCGAGACGGTGGCGCTAACGGCCGTGTATGGAGCTAGCTAGGTTGCTATAGGTGCATCTGTAATTTACGTCATTTTAACAGAGCTGATGACTTTGTCTATAATAATCTTTATTTGTGGAGCACTTTTCAAAAACAAGTTACAAAGTGCTTTAACAAGTGTAAAGACAAAAGCGAACACCAGTCTTAAAACTAAATGTAGCCTGCTCACCAGAGAAAGGGAACAGCCAACTCCTAATAAGTTTTTTCAACAGCACTGGTTAAATTTACACAGTGCTGCGGGTACAAGTCGCCTGTAGCCTGCTGGACAGGTCGCTGGTAACGACTTGTCAATCATAGATAATCATGCATTGAAACATACTCTGCTTTATAGTCTATTTTAAAATAAATGAGACCATTATTTACTAAATGAACATCATTTTGTATTGAAGAAGACATGAAACTAGTGATTGAGACCATAAACTCATCAGGAAAGTGTTTACTGAGGTAATTATTCAGCTGAGAAGTAGGGTCATTTTACCATTATTTCTAATGGAGCCGGACTTCTTTTTGCAACCAGAAGAGTCGCCCCCTGCTGGCCGTTCAATAGAATACAGGTTTAAGGGACTTCCGCGTTCGCATCAGATCGCTGACCGGAAGCTTCCTGCTTGTTAACAATACATAGTATTTTATATGCTCATTATAGGATTTTTAAAATCTTAATCTAGTAACTAGTATAGTCAGTAAGCCTACATTACAAGCACTTCAGAATAGTACTTTCATTACTTTTAGCTTCATTACACTGTTTTCCAGTATGTTTTAAAATAGACATTTTATGGATTACTTTTAAAGCTCTTTATGGCGTGTCTCCCTCTTATATCCGACCTTTAAGTCCCTTTGGCCCCACCACCTTGAGATCATCAGGCAGAGGTCTGCCGTCTGTTCCTGAGCCTCAACTGAAAACTAAAGGGGAGAGAGCGTTTGCAGTTAGGGGCCCGAGGCTCTGGAACAGCCTGCCTGAGGAAATCAGGTCGGCTGAGTTAGTGAACTCCTCTGTCCCTTCTTGAAACGTACTTTTCAGACAAATACATTGCAGGATTTGTTGCAAAAGTGTGGTAATTCGTAAAAAAAAGTGTGGTAAGTTTGGGCTAATGTTTATATTTTTTCTTTATTTTACGTGTCCTTATCACAAAACACTTCCTCTCTCAGTGTCAGGTAGATTAACTGACAGTGCGTTCAAGTGCTGTCAGATTATTTCTTATCTCTTTGTGTTAAATGTGGGTCAGTGATGTGAAAGTGTGTCAGAGTGAGAGTTTGTTTGTGTTTCACAGGTGAATGATGATGAAAATGATGGAGACCCTTCTGCCTCTGTCAGACTCCACTGATCAACAACTTCCATATCCACATCAGCTCATCATGTGATTTTTGTGTTTGGCTTGAATAAGTTTCCAGCTTTAATGGAGTCAGTCACCTTTTTATGATATCTGATGATACAATCTGCAAATAAAGAAATGTTTTTGTGATTCCTTCATGTACTGACAGTGTCATAATGGAAAGTGAATATTCTCTACTATGAATGTTCTGTCTCTATTAGCAGTACAACCTCCCTCCTCTTGTCCACTTCTAGTAAACCTTCCATCTGTTGAGTTGAAGAGCTCTGTTCTCGCCGGGCAATCAAATGTGTCTAAATACAGATAGAAATCCACTCAAAGTGACCTTATAATCCACAGACATGTAATAACTACATAGTTTCAGATGTTCTGGATGTACATAACTACCAACTCTGACCTAATATGAATGTCCTGTTCAAAACTTTCTGCACATTAACAATCTCTCCCACATATCTGTGTCCTCTGACATTTGCGGAATAATATTTTGAGACAAAAGTCACAATAGTACGAGAATAAAAACGCAACATTTGAAGAACAGACGACTTAAGAGAATTTGGATTTTGAGATAATTGGGGAAACGCAAACTTGATTTTTACAGCATCACCTTGAGATCAGAGAGTGTCATTATACGTACCTGACTAGTGGGTGAAATGTTCAACCCACCGGCGACATTTTGTGTTTCCAAGATTTAAAGTTTAAGCTGCATAAACACTTTTAAGCAGAGAAAAATAAGTAAGTGTCACATGATCCAAATAAAATAGAGAACGTAGACTCACTATGATCTGAACACCCCCATTGTCAGCAAGTCTGACTTGGTAACCTGAGGATTTTAACCCCGAAACTACAGTTCACCAGAGCAGGTGACTTACTGACTGAGCTACTGGTGAGATGCTGTTTCCAGACACATTCTCAGAAGTTGAGGTGGTGACGTGTGCCAGACCTTTAAACTTAAAATGCTTATAACAGTCAACAGTCAGCCGGTTTGGCGTGTGTTGTAAAATATTTTGGTTGCACTGTTTCCAACTCTGAGTAAAAAAGAAAATGTTGTGCATACTGTACAAGATATGGCAAGATACTGAATATCACTGCAGACTCAAAATTTGATGATCTAAAAACCCTTTGAACCACTTGACATCGGCCATCTGGAGAACGACTCTGTCGACTTTGGTAGTTTCAAGAAAGTTTTGTGGAGATATAGATGTTCATTGAATTAGCATATTCTCTTGTGTTACAACCCAGCTCGTTAGGGTAGGGCAGTAACAAGGTATTTGGGTTAAATTAAGGTGGTAAGGACAACTGAATTCAGGTTGAGTCAAAGTTTAATTAAATGAGTTGTCTCCAAAAAAAAACACAACAAAAGGAGGCTATGTAGGTACTGACAAAAAAAAACACTTAACAAAAGGAGGTCAGTACCTACATGCTGTACAGGAATGTAGTGTAACCAAACAAACAATTTTCCCCCTTAAAGGGTGCCACTCACATTCTGTAGTTCACAAAGGTTTTTAGGTCACTTAAGCCGGCAACCGACAGAAACAGGTAAATTTAACACTCAAGACATTCACAGGGGTACACAACCAACAACAAGGCGAACTGATCACTGGCTCACAGTCGCCTCGAACTGCAGGAACACAAACTACTTGTAGGCCAGCTGGTGTTGATTGGTGAGTTCTGGTTGGCAGGTTCGGTAGGATCCTCGGCCACACCAATCAGACGCCAGCAAACAGCAACCAGGAAGTGGGTGGTTCCAGGTCCAGGGGAACCAATCCTCGACAGGTGCTTGCCGTGGGGATTTGCATACAGCTCAGAGAACTCCAAAACACAACTACCCTAAGGCAGCCAGCGGCGGCCGTAACACTTGCAGTGAGGCAAACGTTAGTCACAAATCAGTGGATATGCCGAAAGGATTTAAGCTCTCTAGGACGTACAAATGAAAAATATCTAGAATTTACATTTCTTGTAATAAGCCACGCCCACTTTTGTGCAGTCATTACCAAATTTTATACATAAACAAAGTAGTGACCCGAGATCGTGTAAACTGAATTTTGTATGAATCCATCCAGCGAATTACTAGGTATACTTTTTGTAAGTGTAGCGCCCCCTAGGGGAAGAATATTCCAGGACTGCTCAGCGAAACCGAGCATCTGAACCGAACAGACGTAACAAGTTTCGTTACAATAGCTTAAGCCAATTTTGATTTACAGGTATTTATGTAAAATTGTACATAAATACAGAAAAGCAAAAATTTATGAAAAAAAAAACAGTGACATATCACAATTCTTTTGATCAGTTTTGATCAGCGACGTCCATAGATGATCCTGCCAAAGTTTCAGGTCTATTGGCGAAACCGTCTGGGACGAGGTCACAAAAATATGAATCCAGAGATTAAAATACCTAATGAAAGAATTTCGACTAAAATAAGCCGTTTTCGAGATGTTTGCAAAAACGTATAGTTTTTATAATCATAATAATAATAATCTTTATTTGTAGAGCACTTTTACAAGTTACAAAGTGCTTTAACAAGTGTAAAGACAATAATACCCAAAAGACAATAATACAAAAACAATACAAGATAAAAGCATGAAAACATTGAAAAGACTAAAATACACATTTAAGATAAATATAAAATTAGAAAATAGAATAAAATAAAAAGGGATAAAATAAAGTCAAATAAGATCGGGAAAGGCTCTCCTATAAAAGTATGTTTTAAGAAGGGACTTAAAAGAGTTCACTGACTCAGCCGACCTGATTTCCTCGGGCAGGCTGTTCCAGAGCCTCGGGGCCCTGACAGCAAACGCTCTGTCCCCTTTAGTTTTCAGTCGAGACTCTGGAACAGACAACAGACCTCTGCCCGAGGATCTCAAGGTACGTGCTGGTGTGTATGGGACTAAAAGGTCAGAAATATAACAAGGCGAGAGGCCATGAAGAGCTTTAAAAGTGATCAATAGAATTTTAAAGTCAATTCTAAAACATACAGCAAACAAACATACAGAGTTCTGGACAGTGTGGAGTCGATCAATAGATTTTTGAGATTACTAATATTTCTGTGTGGGATGTGCACATTTTGGTTTACTAGTCTATGCGTGATGATGACAGGAACAGAAGTCTTTGGAACAATGTTGGGAGCAGACAGTTTTACATGCCAGCAGGTGGAGACAGTTATTTGTGGCAGTGAGGCAGAGATCTGTTCAGTGACCGTTGTTGTGTCCAGGTGTGCTGCATGAATGATTATAGCGCCACCATGAGATCTATGAGGGCCATTTGTTTTTTTGCCTGAGTAGTTGTGGAATTTGCAATCTACGTGCCAATTTTGGTGAGTTTTCGTCCAGCAGTTTTTGCTGCCCAAACACTTTTAGCGGAGAAAAAGAAGAAAGAAAGAAGTAGACGAAGAAGAAAACCAATAGGGCTCATTATTCTTTCTCATTTAATGTTGTGTAATTTCTGTGTTGTGCTGTTTGTCTCTTTTCCAGGTTCTGGATAAAGATGGTGATGATGAAGATGATGCAGTGAGCCTTTTAGTCCAGAAGGGGGTGCAGTAGGTTAACTAGTAGCACAATAACTACATTATCTGGCTGCTTGAAATGTACTGATCATAATATATGGTACATTTAGCTTGATGAACTTGCTGTCTGGCACTTTAATGTGCTAGTGCTGTGTTGTAGTTAAACATCTATACGTTTTTACAGTTCTTTCTGCATTACCTGTTACCCGGGTTCAATCCCCCACTGTGACCCATCCACCATTGTGTCCCTGAGCAAGACACCTAACCCCTAGTTGCTCCAGAGGCGTGCAACCTCTGACATATATAGCAATCGAAAGTCGCTTTGGATAAAAGCGTCAGATAAATGACTAAATGTTTGATATCCAGTCACTTTAACATCTATATCTCTGCTGAAGTTATTTTTATGTTCTGGTGTGAAAGTAATAAAAGCAAACTAAGAGAAAGTGGGACAACACTCATCTCGACTGAGTCACAAACCCAAATTTTCACTGGTGTTAATCCCAGATACTTCAGGTCAGTGTGAACTTCATACCAGCTCACGTCAGCCAGAACAGAAGGAAGTCTGCCTACATTAAAAGCAACAACTGACATAACAAGAGAAAAAGGACAGTTGCTATGAGGAAGAGAGGATATTATAATTAGAGGAAGTAAAAACAACATTTCTGTTTAAGAAGCAACTCATTTAGAAACTTACAAGTAGAAGAATTAGAGAGAAAAGAGAGACAGAGAATCACGATGGTTGAGTTCAAATGGATTAAAACATCTTTATCTCTGATGCTGGTGCTTCCATTTACAAGTAAGACTATGTATGACATAAATAAGACTGACATAAACAATAGAAAAGCAAATGTATTAATATCCTTAATATTAATTTATTACATTCATTGAACCATGACAGCAAAGTAGTCTGTTTTCCAGTGTATGGAATGATGACTTTAGTGAACAATTTAAAGTTTTGTTGTACCTCACGCTGAAAATAATATTACTTATATATATTTGTCATCTTCTCAGCAGTAGCATCCAGACAGCTTTTCCTCTCTCTCACTGTTAGAGTTGGAGATGAAGTCACTTTGTCTTGTGAAAATGTAATAGATGATCAGGATAACTGTGACAGTACTAAATGGCTCTTCAGAGATTCAAGGAACTCAGCAGCAGAAGCGGTCCCTGAACTTGGGAAGAATGGTGTAAAAGCCAAAGCTAAATTAGACAGACTGAGTGTTACAGAGAACTGTTCTCTGGTTATAAAGACGGTCACAGTCGAGGATGTTGGTCGTTATGACTGCAGACAGTTCAACAATTCAGGAGGAAAACGCAATCAAGATGCTGTGGTTCATCTGTCTGTTATTAACAGTGAGTAACATCATAATGTTTTCAGTCAAACTGTCTTGTTAGAAAAATGAAGATGAAGTTAATTTTACTTACTTACTTGTACTTCTCTCGCCAATATATGTTCATCTTTACCAGTGACTGAACATAAGGAAGATGATAAGGTGACATTAACCTGCTCTGTGTCGACATATGAACGATGTACGACCACAGTGAAGTGGCTGTTTAAGGGTAAAGAGGTGGATAAAGATAACCAAGATCTGAAGACATCACAGTCTCCCTGCAGTGTCTCTGTGAGCTTTCTGACTTCTCATTTCATTCACACGTTGAAGCATAACGTTCTGAAGTGTGAAGTGACTAATGGTAACAAAGTGCAGGAGTTTCCCTTCAGACGTCAGCCCACAGGTGAGAAATTAGGTGACAATATGAGGAGCTTTTTCAAGTCACTTCACACTGATGTGAATAATTAATTAAAATGTTTGTTTATTTTATGAATTTGATGTTTTAATATTACAACACAACTCACGTTTATTGAGTTGTGTTCAACTGTTCAGGTGAGGACAAAAAAACAGGAACAACAGAATCAACAACAACTGAAAACAGCATAAAAGCAGGTATCACGACGACAGCATCTGCTATCCATAATCATTCAACAGGACGACAGAGCAGTGAGTCAATGTTTTGATATATTGTTTTCTACTAAATTCACAGTGAGCAAAGACATACAGGCAAACAAACTTTAGACGTTGTTACTTTGTGTGTTGAGTTTTTTTGGTTTGTATTTTTTCATCAGTAAATGGTTAAATGTTCTGAAATGCTCTGCACAGTGGCTGTTGACAAATCAGTATATTGAAATGTACCTTACATTCGTATAGACCCAATGAGAGAAACAAAAACCTTTTTGGAAAGAGAAAAAGGTTGAAGAATTTTCTCAACCCACACCAACACAACCCAAAACCAAGCTGCATCCACAATTCTTAAAACATTTTCATTTTTTCCAGATTGGTGGTGGTTGTACATCCTTGTGTCTGTGGTTTTAGCAGCACTATTAATAATCGTTGTGAAATCCATCAGATGGAAGAGAGCTAAAGGTGAGAGCACACATGAAACTTTACAACAAGAAGAAGTTTTGACAAAAATGGATTTTCTCAGTGGAAACTTATTTTTGTCTTTCAGAGACCAAAACAGGGATGAATGAAAATGTTGTGAGTTTGAAAACTATTCTTCTACATTTTGATTCTGTAGCTGAGAAAGGATAAAATAAGATAAACCACATTGTGTTGGATTAAAACTTCTTGTTGTGGCTACAAAGGTCAAGGAAGTGATTGTGAGGAAGAGCAAAAAAGGGTCTAACTCTCATTTTTGCTTTGCTAATCCTGCCAAAAACATAAATTATAGCTTTTAAAATGCTGACAGAGTTTAATCAACTCCTCTCTGAAACAGTGTTCATAAAACTCATTATCATCAGCTTCATAGACCCATTATTGGTGCTGCTCTATTGGATTACATCTCAAGTAAAATTAAATTAATCCACTGCACTGAAATTGTAGATTTGAAGACGTTTTTACAGTCCCACCACAGAAACCTGCAGCACAGATGTACAACATATGTTGCACAAGTGTTGTGTGTAATGTGCCCTGACAACATCTGCATAAACTGAACTGAAACATGCTTTTTGACCAATTGTTTGTTGTTTTGCTCCAGGGGCTGACCTCAGACCCTGCGGTGACTCCAGAATGGACCCAAACGCAGACACTAACAGGAGGAGGAGAACGGGACACGGTGAGATTACACACTACACCCAGTACAAAGTTACTCAGTAAACTCACTTGCTTGCAGTTGTTCTCTAGAATATAACTGTACCATAAGTGTAAGATAAAGAGGGAAGCTAAATGATGCAACTGGACACAGGAAAAGAGCCGAACAACAAAAAAACTATTATGAAACATCATTTAAAGAGACATAACGTGACCTTTTTGCAGAAGTAATAGAATTTGAAATGTTGACTGTGATAAAATAGAGTGTCAGTATTAATTCACAAGTTACTGAGAAGCCATTATGTTAATTTCTCTAAAGGCTGATCCTGAAGATGGCGTTTCCTACGCCGCTGTCAGCTTCACCATGAAGACCAACAATAAAGGCCGGGTAAGCTGAATGAAGAAGAATTGTTTCTTTAGCACTTGAATGTTGGATATCATTAATGATTCTTTTGTTATCTTTTGTAGTGTCATGGTGCATGACATGTCCTGTTGCTTTATTTATATTGTGTTGTTTCCCACCAGGTTCAGAGTAAAAATGATGCTGATGAAGGAGATGCAGTGACCTACACGACTGTGAAAGCTTCCTCCGCTGATCCCAGCAACCTTTACGCTGCAATCAACTGACCAAACAAATCAAATTCATGTCATCAGATCTTTGTATACCTCTTATAATGTGTATTACAATCATTTTCAGGATGGATTATTGTAAAAAGATTGTTACTCAGAACAGGGTGAAGCAGTTTAACTAGTGGCATAATGTAATATATATATAATATTTCCCCCCTTTATTTTCATATTTTGCTCTGGTTTGATATGCAATATTTTGACCATGTATGTCTTTGTTCAGTTAGCGTTAAATATCCTGGTACCAACGTATTCAAAGCAAACTAAAATGAGGTGGGATGTGACATTTTTAATTTTACCTGCATAAATGATGTCACCATGGGAGGTTGTGTTAAATACTGAATGTGTGAAAACTGTGGAAATCCAAAAGTAACTTTGAATCATATCACCATAGATAAGTAAGTTAGGAGGAAGTTATACACATAAGAGTAAGTTAGACTAAAATAAGAATGAGTCAATATGAGAAAGTGACACCTTACTGATCACAGCAGGTAGATAATCTGTTTTTGTTTAAGGAACACCTAGTTTAGACTTTTAAAAGGTTAATGAATAACAGAATGAGACACAGAGATTTTACTTTGATAGTAGAACCTTTCCTGATTGTAGTGCATTTTATTTATTTTTCTTTCTTTTAACTGTGTTGTGATTCATTAAGTGTTTTCTTGTTTCTATCGTGTATCTTGTTATCTGTTTTATGTGTTTGCACTTGTAAAAGAACTCTGTATCATGGATTTTGAAAAGTGCTCTATAAATAAATATTATTATTATTTATGTGTCACACGGAAATTCTTTAATAAACTTTGATGGGGACTCTTACGTTGAAAAACTGGTTATTCAACCGGAAGTGCTTGTCCATTGATAGAACTGGTTTCCGTAGGAGAGATGTTGGAAGGATAGTCGATTTGGTGCTAAATTTTCCTGCACAGTGGATGAATAACCACGACTGTATTTTTGAGATCATCTTTATTTAAAACATATGAGTGAATGAGAGCTGCTCGGTAAGTTTAACACGCAGAACGAACCCAGAAAAGGAGCCGTTACTGAGCCGTTAGCTAACGTCTGTTCAGGTGTCAAATGTCCGCGGCTGTAAACAAGATAGCTCGACATCTTAGCATCTTAGCTAGTGGTCACTATCACTATCACTTTCTCCGGCGGAGTATTTTTAACCTCTTAAATGCGTTGTTTTTACTGAAATACGAACACGAGACTGGATTATGTAACATAAAGTTGGCCTACTAAATATGTATCGTTAGATTTCAGGGCATCCTAGCTAGCGTTTAGCATTCAGTCCGCTAACTTAACGTTACGTGCTGTGAACCAACTCTCTAGCTGTTTTCACCCTCAAAGTCTGGTTTGCTCACTCCTGTGTGTCAGATGTGACTCTGGCAGCCGTCGACCATGAGTAATAGCCACCCTCTGCGTCCACTGGCCTCCGTGTCGGAGATCGACCACATCCATCTGCTGTCGGAGCAGCTGGGAGCCCTGGTGCTGGGTGAGGAGTACAGCGATGTCACCTTCATTGTGGAGGGGAAGCGCTTCCCGGCGCACCGGGTCATACTGGCAGCTCGCTGCCACTACTTCAGGTAACTGTGAATGTCTAAACCCATGGCACCTGTAAGTTTAACATATGTTACCGCTGTCAGCTCTGCAGATCTTTTTGCTAAGCCCGTCCTTATAAACCCATCCTGTCCGCACAACTGTTGAAATATGCAAACCCAGATATTCATTTTTTTTTTTTATTTTACCAGGAAATTTTAATCTCTTTTACAAGGATGTCCAAACTAAAACAATCACTGTTTGATTTTGATAATAGCTTCATTGTCATTTAAAATCACAAATGACATATATTTCCTAGTTCTAACCCTACATTGGGAGGGTTTGCATATTTTCTGAATCTTATGTTTTTTGGACAGGGGAAATTGTTTATGGTTCCCTTTTAACAATGACTGGGGCTACTGTGACTCGGTGGGCTAGAGCTGTCATCCACTTATCAGAAGGCTGTTGGTTTGATCCCCGGCTCCCAAAGTCAAAGCGTCCTTGGGCAAGACACTGAACCCCAAATTGCAAATTGTGAACACACATGAATTCTGTTTGTGGTGGGTAGTTGGCGCCATAGCCTCTGCTCATCAGTGTATGTGTGGGCTGCCTAGTTTCTCTTTCTTCCCACTAAAGAGTCATTCCATAGTGACACACAGGCTCACACAAAAGAACATTATTCATATTAGGAGCAGTGTTTCCCACAGGATTTTAAGAGACTATGGTGGGTTGGCCTTGAACTCTCTCACCGAGGGGTCCAGTGAGAGGGTTTTCCGAAAACCCTGCATCAAAGAATAGAAGAGGGAAGAAGTAATTTCCCTAACATTTTTTTATTGTTTTTTTATTACTACTTTTATTGGACACGTGTAATATGTTTTATACTTTCTGTGAATATAATCCAATTAATCTTATTTCCATGCTGTATAGACACTTTATTGTTGTGTGTATCCCCACACTAAATTCATTAAGTCCGACCAGAGTCCGAACTTGATAAATAATGTTGTGTGTGGTTCTTGTATCACGTAAAATGAAGACTTCACAGCCTCTCTTCAGGTAGGACACTAATACTAATAATAATGCAACACTTGTCTTTGTAAAGAGAGAAACTGACAGGATAAAGTCGCTAACCTTCCTGTCAGCTTGAACTGGTCCATTACAGTGGATTTACCATGAAGGCTTTAAGACGTGTGCTTCTAATGTAGGCGCGGCTAGCTTAATCGCCTTCTCACAAACTTGTGACAGAAACAAGTCATTACCGTAGTTACCTCAAAAGAAAAGTGGTTGTCTTGAGTCGTGCGAGCTTACAGTATCGCGGAGCAGCGCCCAGAAAACACAACGTTAGAGGTCTGTAATATATTATGAGATGTAAAAATATTTTTCGGCTCATTTTGAAACTATGGCGGAGCAAATTAGACTATGGCGGGCCGCCACGGTCTCGTTAATTAATGGGAAACACTGAGGAGTTCATGTTGTATCCGGCAGGAATTTGATAGCTTTTCCAAACACACAATAAGCATCTGATACTACATATACAATGTGATTTACACAATGTTGATACCTTGTCAGATTTTCTATGTATGCTTGTCAGAATGTATTGGCAGATGTTTGTCAGACTGCTTGCAGCTCGTTGAGACGGTCTAAATACATACAGGAGCAGGACTTTCTGACAATGCTGCATAATGGTTAAATTCAGATTGATTAAAATGTCTTCATGTCTTTTTTCTCTCTGACACCTGCCTGAAGAAGATCTTGTAAATCGAAATGTTGTCTTGAAAGTAGAATTTACCCATTTATTTTGGAAACTAACTGTGTGCAGACAGTATGCTTGTCACAATCTATTGCCAGATGTTTGTGAGACTGCTTGCAGCTGGTTGGGACAGTCCAACACATGTACGAGCAGGACTTCCAGAAATTTCTGTGGAGAAAGTTAGTTAGAAAACTTAACGCCACTTAAATACATAACAGCTTTTTGCCTTTTCTGGCTCCTTCAGGGCCCTACTGTATGGTGGGATGAAAGAGTCCCAGCCCCAGGCGGAGGTGTGTCTAGAGGAGACGCGGGCTGAAGCCTTCTCCATGCTGTTACACTACCTGTACACGGGCCGGGCCAGTCTCAGCTCGGCCCGGGAAGAGGTGCTGCTTGACTTCTTGGGCCTTGCTCACCGCTATGGCCTCCAGCCACTGGAGGACTCTACTTCTGAATTCCTCCGCACCATCCTGCACACCAATAACGTCTGCTTGGTCTTTGACGTGGCCAGCCTTTACTCTCTGAGCGCACTCAGTGCAGCCTGCTGTGCCTACATGGACAGACACGGACCTGAAGTATTGAATTCTGACGGCTTCCTCATGCTCTCCAAGGTAAGAGATGGCTTATGAACAGTTATAATCAGTATTGCATCTGGTTCATTCTCACTTTAGCGTAGCAATAGATTGTGAAATATGGTTTGAAATATTAGAATAATAATGGGAAGTAGGCATCTCCTTTGCCTTAGGTGTAACATAAATATGAGATACAGTGACCTCTAGTGGCAGATAACTCATTTCTACCAAGCAGTGCAACAGAGTGTTATTTGAAGCAACAGGCTCTTAGGACACATCATGTATCACTTGATGTAACTTCAGCTAAGCCAGTGGTTCTCACATTGGGGAGCGAGCCCCCCTGGTGGGGAAAGAGCCACTGCAGGGTGGCGTGGATGAGCAGGGAAAATATGGGAGGGGAAAGGAACAAAGTTGAATGAACACGATTTATGTAGGGAAATAAAAACACGAGTTTGCTGATGCAATCATACTGACCTGAGTCATTTCTTTTATTTAAATCAAAGTAAGTGAGTTTGAGACCCGCTGACCTGATCTAATGACACAGAAACCATCCCTTAAACTCTGCACGCCCATATCCCATTACCCGTACGGCTGTAACTCACACTTATTTTAATAATGGAGTCTACAATTACTTATTTGTTTGTTCAACAGTCAAAATAAACCAAAAGGTTTTGACTTTCTGTGATATGAAATACAAGACAACAAGCAAATGCTCATAACTAAGAAGCTGTAACCACTACATGTTGAGTATTTCTTACTAAAACAATTGTTTGATTATTATACTTGTGTTTGCAGACTGCTCTGCTGACTGTGGTCAGGCGAGACTCGTTTGCTGCCAGTGAGAAGGAGATCTTCCAGGCCTTGTGTCGTTGGTGCCGACAGCACGTGGATGGGGCTGACACCAAGGAAGTGATGGCAGCAGTGCGGCTGCCGCTCATGACCCTGACAGAGATGCTGAACGTGGTGCGACCGTCTGGCCTATTGAGCCCGGACGACTTACTGGACGCTATCAAGACCCGCTCTGAGAGCCGCAACATGGACCTGAACTACCGCGGCATGCTTAGTTAGTGCTCTTACTCCTCAATCTGCTTTCTGTCATTACTTTAATGAATGACATCAGACATCAAATTGAAAATGTGATTTAGTTTATTTCATTTCACTTCTTCTTTCTCCTTCAGTCCCAGAGGAGAACATTGCCACCATGAAGTACGGAGCTCAGGTGGTGAAAGGGGAGCTGAAGTCTGCGCTGCTGGACGGAGACACCCAGAACTACGACCTGGACCACGGCTTCTCCAGGCATCCCATCGAGGATGACGGCCGGGCCGGGATCCAAGTCAAACTTGGCCAGTCGTCTATCATAAACCACATCCGCCTACTGCTGTGGGACAGAGACAGCCGGTAAGACAGGCTGGTCTCACCCTGCTAAAACAAACAGCCGGGTTTGAATCTTATATGTAGACATATATAGTATTATTTACTACTATAATATTAGTTTTGCTGGTTCCAACAAACTGTTGGCAAGGCGATGGAAGGGCTCATCTGAAAATTATTAATTATATTAAGTTTGTCTGTTTGTAGTGATATTTGCTTGAAGCATGTCAGACAGAGTGTTGTTCAATAAAAAACCCAGCAATTAAAAACAAATCCCGCTAAAACTACTTGGATAGTAGATATGGTTATTTGGTTTCTAGGCACATTTATATATAATATACATACAAGAAACGTGTATATATTTTTTGCTTTTTAATTAACCCCATTAGACTGATATATGATTATGACAAACTTATTCTGAGTTTGTTTACTGATTTAAAATGTCTTGATTATTTAAGGTCTTACTCCTACTACATTGAGGTATCTATGGATGAGCTGGACTGGGTGCGTGTTGTGGACCATTCAAAGTATCTCTGCCGCTCTTGGCAGAACCTGTTCTTCACACCACGAGTTTGCAGGTAAATTAAACTAAAGCATTTGGCTCCTGTTTCAGTTTCACCAACCGTTATTATTCGTTGGACCTAGCTGCTGTTGAAATGTTGACTTTGTCATATTTTATATATGTTCACCATGCATATTACAAGAAAACCAGCACTCACAAATAAGAAACACCTGTATTCACAAGTAGTTCAACATCTTTTTATGTTCCATCATTTTGCCAGGCTGGAGATTTTGTTGTCACAACAAGTCAAAACAAATCTGATTCTATCTCTTTCATTTTGGCCAAGCACGTATGTGCTGTTTTCCAAAACTTGCCTTAACCTGCTGTGCATAGCAATTACAGTGTGTTTTGACATTGTTGTCTGCAATTTTTTGGTAGATTGGTAGCACCACCATACCCAGACATTCTGAGGAGAACCCTGCATATAACCTTGTGCACTTTCCTTGTTAGTGGAAAATCCAATTGCAGTTTATTAAGTTCGCGTTTTGCAAAAAGTGAACATGGTTATTTATGTAATGTTTTGTGTTCTTGGGATAAGAGTATGTTGTAATCAGCTAATAGTTCAAGAGGTATTTTTTTTTAATCTCTAGTCAGTTACAATGTGCCTCACTGTAGAGGAAAAAGTAAAAGGTGTGGAAATGAAAAAAATAGTGACCAGTATGAACGTAACCATAAAAACAACAGCCCGTAAAGTCAGACAAGGAATATCTAAACTGAAAAACAATATTGTACTTTGTTTTTTTATTGTAAAAAATGTACTTTATTAAGCTTAAATTAAAATACCTCAACTGTATGTTAATACAGTTATTGTATGACATGCTAATAGACATGCAACAGTAATTTGGGTGGAATTCACTTTTATTTTTATATTCAAGTTTTAATTAAATTATTTTCAGATTTTTCAAGCAATAATTCATCTTTTATTTCAAACTTAACCATGAAGGGCTTTCCCTCTGTGTCAATTTTTTCCTGGTTGTTTAAAGATCTGATGGTTCTTTGGTTTTCCTGCTCATTTAGATCTGATGATGCTCTTTCAGGTACGTTCGCATTGTGGGAACACACAACACAGTCAACAAGGTCTTCCACCTCGTGGCTTTTGAATGCATGTTCACCAACCGCTCATTTACCCTAGAGAACGGACTTTTGGGTAAGTTTAAGAAACAAAAATTGTGTCTTCAATACATAGTAATAATAATAATAACGATATTAATAACATGAACTGCGTCTGATAGGTGGATTTTACTTGTTCTATATTTACCTTGGTAAGCTAGATCCCTTTCATGCAAACAAGTGCAGATCGTAGCAAATCCAGTATATAATCCTTCATCTAATATCTGCAGTGCCCAGTGAGAATGTGGCGACCATTGCAGCGTGCGCCAGTGTTGTTGAGGGCGTAAGCCGTAGCAGAAACGCCTTGCTCAACGGGGACACACGCAACTACGACTGGGACTCCGGTTACACCTGCCATCAGCTGGGCTCTGGAGCAATCGTCGTCCAGCTGGCTCAGCCCTACTCCATAAGCTCCCTGAGGTACATCTGGCCACATGGTTCAGTCTGAGTATCTTGCAAACCTGAAATCACAACATCTGGTGAAGTAATAGTTTAGTTCATCGTAATGGGCAGCGAGGTAGATTTCTATTTCTGGTAGGTTATTTCTCATTTTACCATATTAATTTTTCTTCATTCTCTTATTTTAGTGTTAATGTTTACTCACTACTTGAGAGTATACGAGACCAATGTGACACTGTGTGACATCTGTACTAGCGTGTTCACTGTTTTGCTTTACCTGGTCGGTGCTTGTAAAATATCCACGTGATACCAGATAACATCTTTCTCTGTCTTTCTCTGCAAAGTGCTAAATATGCAAATATACTTTGGCAACAGTTAATAAACCTGGGCGGCTCACCCAACTAAAGTCATATGTGGGAAAGACTGCATGTGAACTGTGTGAATTGTATCTTGATAATAGTACATATCAAGAAATCCATGACTATCTGTCAAAATTATGAAGCTTTAGGTTTAAGACAGGTCACAGTGGGCACTATGTGGTTTAGTAGATTTAACATTTTATCGACTGCTATTTGACATGATTATATGGCTATTGTCATTTCAAGAACTTGTGTTGTGAATTGTCATTGTAATCCACAGTCGGCTCTGGCTCAGGAGGTAGAGTGTGTTGGCTGTTAATCGGAAGGTTGACTCCCCCAGGCCGCATGTCGAAGTGTCCTTGGGCAAGATTCTGAACCCCGAATTTCCCCTGGCGGCTGTTCCACCAGTGTATGAATGTGTGTGAATGGTGAATGCAGATGTAGGGTAAAAGTGCTTTGAGTGGTCAGAAAGACTAGAAAGGCGCTATACAGAATACGGAGCATTTACCGAGCAGTCTGCAATAGCATTGAAATCTTGTGTACAGTGATTATGAGCACAGCTAAAAGGGTTAAATAGTGTTTATTGTTCACTTTATTCTTCACTATCTCTGCCTGTTCAGGCTGCTGCTGTGGGACTGTGACGAACGCTCCTACAGTTATTACATTGAAGTATCCACCAACCAGCAGCAGTGGACGAAGGTGGTCGACCGCACCAGGATGGCATGTCGGTGAGGCTCCCATTTCCTCCTCTGTCACTTCCTTCAGAATATTTTTCATCTGAAGACATGTCCGTGAAATGCAGTGTTGATAGAGTGGGCCAAAGTGACCCAAAACGTTTTAATGTGTTAACAGTTTGTTTAGAGTTGTATCTGTATGTCGTTTTGCATCATAGTAGTTACCTGTTACAAACAGTATATTTTGTCATGTGTGCAAGACTTAGTACACAATAATGTTTTATTTCCATTTACTTTTTACTGTTAAATGATCCCACTAAGCTTTGAACTCTTTTTTTAGTACACATTCTCTTCTGAAAGTCTAATTATAAAGGAACCTTTAGCCAAATGTTCCTCGCTATGGAAGAAGCAGGCTTGTTTGAAAATAACTTCCTGGAGGGGGAAGGATTAAAAATAACTGCTTATATTCCAGCTATTGTTGACTAACAGCAGATGTTCGCTTTAGGGCTGCAACTTCATTTGCAATAAATGTTGTTCATCTTTTTCTCGATTAATAAATTAGTTGTTTGGTCTATAAAATGTCAGAAAATGGGTGGAAAATATAAATCACTGTTTCCCAAACCTTCAAATGTCTTGTTTTGTTCAAAACTCAAAGATATTCAGTTTACTGTCAAAGAGGAGACTCACGTTAACTTTGAAGCGCTCGTTAAGGCCTTCATTATTTAATATATTCCTTTAGTCTGTAAGGGTCCACCCATCAAAAGAATCAAAACAGCTTTTCAGAAAAATTTATCCAAGTTGTGAATCCTGTCATGCAAAGTCCATCGCTCTCTGTCTGCTAACTTCTCTCATCCTGCACCGTGTTGTTGTTGTTTTCGTGAGGTTGCTTCCTTCAAAATAAAAGCTATTAGCAGTCTGTCGGAGCTAGATCAAATGAATGACGTGTACTTGATTATTTTTACATAAGTATTATTCTGTTTGAAATAAATAATCTGTTTCATAGTAGTTTCAGTTTTGTGCAAAAAGAATTAAAGGCCTGTCCCAAATAAAGGCAGGGTCAATTCAGTGATTTTAGCAAACAAAAGCCCTGGCTATTTAAAGTTTTACGATAATTTTTTTTTTTTTTTACCACCCTCTCTTGCAGATCATGGCAGACATTGAAGTTTGATAAGCAGCCTGCTTCCTTCATCCGTATTGTTGGGACTCACAACACTGCTAATGAGGTGAAGACAAAGTTTACTATAATGGTCATCAGGCAGTGGCTGTAACTTATTCCTTCTGGGCAATTGTGCACCTCACGTCCAAAAAAAGTGCTTCTTTCTCAGACCGTTATATCAGGTGTCTGACAACATCATGGACCCGCTAACATTCCTTGCTTTTAAGCAGAAACAGAAGTCTCGCTCAGGGACAACTCTCTCTCCGTGAGAGGCGAGTTGTTGCTGGAAGATGATGGTGGAAACATCACGTCACCTGCAACTTCCACAGGAATAGTTTAGAATGTCATCAGAAAGTTGATTTATTTCAGTAATTCCATTCAAAAAGTACACACAGACTGATATATTTCAAATGTTTATTTCATTTAATTGTGATGATTAAAACTGACAACTAATGAAAATCCCAAATTCAGTATCTCCAAAAATTAGAATATTACTTAAGACCAATACAAAAAAAGGATTTTTAGAAATGTTGGCCAACTGAAAAGTATGAACATGAAAAGTATGAGCATGTACAGCACTCAATAGTTAGTTGGGGCTCCTTTTGCCTGAATTACTGCAGCAATGCGGCGTGGCATGGAGTCGATCAGTCTGTGGCACTGCTCAGGTGTTATGAGAGCCCAGGTTGCTCTGATAGAGGCCTTCAGCTCTTCTGCATTGTTGGGTCTGGCGTATCGCATCTTCCTCTTCACAATACCGCATAGATTTTCTATAGGGTTAAGGTCAGGCGAGTTTGCTGGCCAGTTAAGAACAGGGATACCGTGGTCCTTAAACCAGGCACTGGTAGCTTTGGCACTGTGTGCAGGTGCCAAGTCCTGTTGGAAAATGAAATCTGCATCTCCATAAAGTTGGTCAGCAGCAGGAAGCATGAAGTGCTCTAAAACTTCCTGGTAGACGGCTGCGTTGACCTTGGACCTCAGAAAACACAGTGGACCAACACCAGCAGATGACATGGCACCCCAAACCATCACTGACTGTGGAAACTTTACACTGGACTTCAAGCAACGTGGATTCTGTGCCTCTCCTCTCTTCCTCCAGACTCTGGGACCTTGATTTCCAAAGGAAATGCTAAATTTACTTTCATCAGAGAACATAACTTTGGACCACTCAGCAGCAGTCCAGTCCTTTTTGTCTTTAGGCCAGGCGAGACGCTTCTGATGCTGTCTTGTTCAAGAGTGGCTTGACACAAGGAATGCGACAGCTGAAACCCATGTCTTGCATACGTCTGTGCGTGGTGGTTCTTGAAGCACTGACTCCAGCTGCAGTCCACTCTTTGTGAATCTCCCCCACATTTTTTAATGGGTTTTGTTTCACAATCCTCTCCAGGGTGCGGTTATCCCTATTGCTTGTACACTTTCTTCTACCACATCTTTTCCTTCCCTTCGCCTCTCTATTAATGTGCTTGGACACAGAGCTCTGTGAACAGCCAGCCTCTTTAGCAATGACCTTTGTGTCTTGCCCTCCTTGTGCAAGGTGTCAATGGTCGTCTTTTGGACAGCTGTCAAGTCAGCAGTCTTCCTCATGATTGTGTAGCCTACAGAACTAGACTGAGAGACCATTTAAAGGCCTTTGCAGGTGTTTTGAGTTAATTAGCTGATCAGAGTGTGGCACCAGGTGTCTTCAATATTAAACCTTTTCAAAATATTCTAATTTTCTGAGATACTGATTTTGGGGTTTTCATTAGTTGTCAGTTATAATCATCAAAATTAAAAGGAATGAAAACTAGAAATATATCAGTCTGTGTGGAATGAATGTATACATTATACAAGTTTCACTTTTTGAACGGAATTACTGAAATAAATCAACTTTTTGATGATGACTAGTACCTGTAAGTAGCTCATAAAGTGGATGTGATTTCTCCTGTTAGTTTGACTCTGATCTCTCTTCAGGTGTTCCACTGTGTTCACTTCGAGTGTCCGGCCCAGCTGGACACAGAGGTTAATGAAGGCAGCCCAGGCCTGGACTCCTCTGATTCTGGAGCCATCTCCCAGCAGCAGCATCGACCCCAACGACCTTCACGCACACACAGCCTGCTGCCCTCCCAGCCCTCTTCATCCTCATCATCTTCCTCACAGTCCCATCATTAAGAGACCCCTCACTCCCTTATTGGAAGGTGTTGAGAGGAAGGGAGACCTCAGAATGCCATTTTGCACAGCCTTCATCATTAAGACTGCACTGCTACAACGCTGCTAAAGGCAGTCGTCTCATTGTCATAAACCATGATCCGTCTGTCATAAGTGCAACATTAGAGACTGGTATATCTGTAGCAGCATTTAGGGCTCCAGTCTTCCCACTTTTGAAACAAAAAGTTAGGTGTTACATCCACTGGCTCATACATTTTTGTGAAGGTACTTTCTAGCTACTCAAGACTCGAGTTTTTTCCTTAAAAAATCATCAAAGTGGAATCTTTTCTTCTCCAAAGATGAGGAACACTGAAATGTGGTTATACTGTACCACCAAAGAGCAGTAAGACCAGGGTAGGGGGGGTTGATATCTGAATTTTACGGGTTAACGTTTCCCAAAAAAAAGGTGCATTTTATCCTTATAAAAAAGCTATTTTTTTAAGAAACTTGTCTTAAAACGACTACTCACTTTTCATACCATCAAGCTAACAGAGTAGCATTTAAGTATTTTTCAAAGTTTGGAATTCAATTCTTCAAATATTTGCCAAAGCTGTCGAGCTAATGCATTTCTTGGCATTTATATGCAATTTGCACTTAATCCAATTATGCATTTGCAAATTAAATAATAGCTGTTGATTATTTGTTAACAGGCTTTGACACCCGAAACCAACATCGGTGATCCTTATCTGGCGTGACTTTTTTGTAGTTAAAATTCATACCTCGGGGAAAAAAAACTCACTATAACTAAACTTAGATTTAAGTGAGTCACTTAATTTAGCGTTTTAAGAGCTTGAATAGCTTAGCACAAATGATTGGGGAAATCACTTAGGTTGGGAAAATTGGGGCTGAGGGTCTCGGACCAAATTATGTATGCACTAGGGCTGCTGGGATGAAAGGTTATATACAGTAGATACACGAGCAGCTGCTATTGGCACTTTATTTTACTCAAGTACACAGAAATAAAGGTTGCAGCTTGGGTCTCCTGACTGAAGTACAGAACTGAAGTGCTCGATATCTGTATGTTAATTTAATTTAAACACTTCCTCGCTCTGTCAGGATCGGCCAGGTTTGTCTTTTGTGTTTTTTTTTTTGTTGTTTTTTTTTTGGAGGTTTGTTTTTAAATTAAGCTCATCAGTGCTGTGGTTCCTGTTTGTTTCTTTTGTGTCCTGATGTTGCACTTTTGAGTTGTTTGTCTTGAAAAATCTTCAAACCTTTTTATTTGATGTTAAGTAACCTGAAATACCTAACTACCTTGGGCGACCCACTGATGTTTCTATAAGCCTTCTTTAGTCATCCACATCTACATTATAGATTACCCATAGTTGGATAAAGTCTTCCTTAAGAACTAACCAGATAACTGAAATAGGGCTTTGTTCAGGTTACATTGTTTATGTAGAGGAAACACTCCCCATCCCCCATCTAACTTTATGTATGTATATAGTTTTACTTAATATATATATATATTAGTTTTGACCATTGACGTGTGATTGCATTTCACTGCCTCTTGTTCAATACATTGCCTGTCAAAAATGTGATTATGGAAACAACTGACATTGTTTAATAATGTTCATTGCTGTGAGGGGTCACACCCGTCTGCTTGCCTGAATCGCTGCTGTTTAACACAGCGGAAGTCTTTGATACAAGCAATACAGTGATCTCTATCTTCTGTTGAGCCTGGAGTCTCTTTTACAGACCAACAATGCTGATTGATCAGTCAAGATCTATTCATCATGCTCCAGGCTCCGATGCCCTGGTAGCTCTTCTTTAGGCAATGTCGATGTGTAATTCGTCCCAAGGAGCTGTTTTATTGTCATGAAACATTTAAAAACATCTCATTTTGAAGTTCAAGTAGCAAGTCTGTCTGTCTGTTTTTGTTGCTCAGATAATTGCCTTGTTTGTAGGAATAGCAACCAAAAGATTTCAGCCAGAACTGTGTGACAGAAAAGATTTAGAAGCAGAGGTGATGGAGAGCAAACACTTCTTCCTTAAAATAATGACCATTATATGGAAACAGTCACACTTACATGAAGTTTTGTGTACCTTTTGTGGGTTTCTCAAATATAATCACTGATCATAGGAAGAATTGTTACCCACAGTTTTAAGGGCAATGCGGCAAACTGCCTCGGGGCCCCAGACCCTCTCCTCCAGCCTCCAGGTTTACCATATGGCATTTGTGCTAATTTAAAATTGCAAATTTGTTTGGGAACACTGTCCGCCACTAAAAATGAAGAAAATGTATGGGCCTTAAGACACCCCCTGCATTATTACCTATCTTGAGACTCTGAGCCCTGGGAAAAGATCTAGTTTTAAAGCATTTAGTATTTAACTTGTTAACCTCATGTTTACATGGCACACATTCCTAAACTAATTTGTACTTGGAAATCTGCTCTAATCGATATTTAAACATTAACAATCAGTCAGAAGACAATGTAGAGGAGGGTGAATGTTGGAAGCCTGAAACATGGCTGCAAATGAATGCTAATCTAGTTATGTGTATGCTTGATGGGTAAAGAGGCAAATCTTATCTAACACGTTCAACATTTTCAGAATTATAAGGTGATTTCAGGTGTGTTTTCAGCAATGTTAAAACAAACTACGCACACAATGCACAGAGATGGAGAAAGAAATGAGGTCAAGTTGATTTTATTTCCTTTTAGTCCACTCAAAGTCTTCAACTCCACTTTACACTCATCGGGTAAAACACGATTAACTAGTGAAGCCAGTGATCAAAGCTGGTCAGACCCGCACACGCTCTGCCTTTCTAGTCAGTTTAAATGAATACAGCGACATTTTCACTTTGTTAGGATTAGGATTTAACCGTGTATTTTTGCATTTACATGTCAGTTTAAGACACCGTTTTACCTTCATGTCGTTGGGCAATATTGACATTTCTGGTTTGATGGACGCGCTTCCGGCCCAGCATACCTCGCACCAACGACGTGTGAATAGGGGTGGTCTTGAACTACTTGAAGAGGGGAAGGCCTTGCTCAATCTATTTGTTTTTTCTTTCGCGTACCCTCCTACGTATTTAACAGCGCCACAGTTGTATTTTACCCGTATCGATGGACAGTTTGCGATTTTTCCGAGCCGTTTAGTGTCGAGTGAAACACCGGGACGCCCCTCTCTTTTTGTTTGTCGGTCGTAACGTCCGGACGTCCAGCTGATTGCTCTGAGTGCCGTTCAATTATTCCAGTTCAAACTGAGCCGTTTTGTTTGACTTAACGGAAGGATTTTGTGGCCGAAACCGGGGCCGAGGTCGCCACCCTCCTATTTTTGTTCTTTTCACACCCATTTGTGGACTTTAAAACAGAGGATATTTATCTTTTTTGTCTTAACTTGAGTGTTGGCTCGGTTTTCTCATTGAACGACCAGGCCCCGGACTCATCCCCAGCCTCGCGTTCCCATATCGGGTTTTTTTTGTGTTGGAAGTCATGGGAGACACTAGTGAACGAAGCAAAGCTCCGAGTCTACCTCCCCGGTGTCCCTGTGGATTTTGGGGGTAAGTAAAACCCTAATATAAACTAGATTAAACCTTCTATATTGAACCAAAAGGTAAATCCGGATGAAATATGCTCAACCCGTTCAACTACTCCAAACCTATTGTTGTTGTTCTGTTGTAACGTTACAGGCCGAGGGTGGGGGGTTGGGAAGTTGGCTAATAAATACACCTCCTAGCTTCAAAACTAGTATAATACCCCTTGTTTCTTATGTTTAAAAACCTACTTTAATCGTTTGAAACACCGGCTACCATTTTTAATCGTGTTTTGAGGCGATTTGTAAGCCAGGAGGTGACGTTACCCGCGATAGAAAATGATTTATTGCCAGCAGGTTCCTTTTAAACCTGCCCTGTTTTCTTGAATCCCCTCGAGGACAAGCAGCAATAAAACGATTAACACATTACTTTGGTTTAAACCCTTTTTTAAAAGCTGAGCAGTGCTGGTTAAACCTCCGTGTTTGAGTTATTTTACACCCTTTTACAGTCGGTCTTGTCAAGTGGTTGGATGTGTGTTGCATACCGGATGTGATTAACTGATGTGTCCTGTGTTACCCCATATAGGAAAATGACTAACTTAACATCTTTTAAGCCTTTTTTTTTAAAACAACAGGACTGCTTCTCCTTATATGGACGTAAACAGCAGAAAACAACATGCGAAGATAAGATTACTGTCATGTCATTACTGAGCACCATGGCCACACTATAAACCTGTAATATTTGCATTACAGCAACGTTAATGAGTGATTATATGTTGGCAACATACTACTGTGTGAAATACAAGCAGTAAGAAAATAGCCCCCCTGTCTGGAGGTATTATTATTACAGATCATTGTCATATGACTCGTTATACCCCCCCCAAGCCCCAAATGAAGGCCAGTTGCCTTCATTTTGTGGTGTGTAGTAAGCAAACTGGAACCAGTAACCCACCTGTCAATGTCAGGTGACATAAATGGCAGCGTGTGTTTAGAGCAGCCCTGCTTCAGCTCAGAATAACACCTGGCCTGAGGGCTGCTGGCTGTCCTGACCCCACACAGGCTGCTCACACATGTCATCGAAACTCAAGGCCTCTTAAAAAGATCTTGAATAAGGTTACGTTTAGCATTTCAAAGGATTGAATTCAGTATTGGAGCTCTTCGTAATGCATGTGTTAAAGCTCCTTACCCCGGCAGTTTTAATGACCTGTATCTCTCAACACTAAATACAGTAGCATTGCGGTTAATTTAAGGTATGGTCAGACTGATGAAAAGTGCCAATACTTGTTTTTGGTATTCACCCTAAACATTTTGCTTGATATGGGGTAATTATTCTTTTTTTCCACCAAGATTTAAATTCTTGCCTCATATAATATTAAGACCACAATGTGCTGAAAGTATGTGTTTTCATTCAAACCAAAGACCACAGCAGGTGATTTCATTAACTAGTTCTTCATCTCTGGGTGAAGTGGTGTTAATCGGTGACATCACCTGATTGTAAGGGTAACCTGAGGAGGACCGTTATTATGCTAAGTAGACCATGATGAGAAACATGGTCCATTTAAAATCAATTTGAGATTTGTTAACGCACGTTAGGTGTGTAGGCTGGTCGATGCTTGGGGAGATATTCTTTTTCTATGTACATGTATTTATTTTGTTGCAACCAACAGTTTTAATAGTGATGATGCCTTTGGTTTGGTTATTAAAGAAGTTTATTTTACAATTGTGAAATAAACTGGTCTACAACATATGTTGTATGATTAGCACTGTCGCCTCACAGCAAGAAGGTCATGGGTTCAAACCCCGGTCGTCCCGGCCTTTCTGTGTGGAGTTTGCATGTTCCCCCCGTGTCTGCGTGAGTTCTCTCCGGGTTCTCCGGCTTCCTCCCACCATCCAAAGACATGCGGACTAGGTACATCGAGGACTACGGTACATCGGAGAGAATTATAGAAATATCGAAAATACGTCCAGCTCCAGTGCAATCATTTTCCACAGTTCAAGGTTAATGATTTGTTTTCTGTGCTTTCTTATCTGTATTTGTTTTTTCCACTCTGCATGCTGCTATCTGATGAAGCATGTGGGTTTTAAGCACCTCAGCAAGATGTATATGACTTTTTCTGCCGACATAGTCACACATTCCTATTTAGTCTCCTTATAGCATTACCTGTATTGGAGGACGGCGGCAGACTGTGTAATACCTCTTGCCTTAATGAGTTTTGATTTCTCTCCCGCCTGCTGCAAAGTGCCTTTATTTTTGTATTATTATAGTTGACCAAAGGAGATTTTGTGTCCCCTTATTAGGTCACATTATTTGGAAAATCAAATTGTGTTCTAGTATTAGACACAAGATGTGAGGAAACCATTCTTAAATGTTATCTCACAAAGTTATCAGAACAGGTAAATCACCTTGTTGTCTAGCAGATCATTATCTTAACATAAAAATTAATGAAGGTGGGTGTCCTCATTTGGATAAAGTAAAAAATGTCTGAACTTGTTAGGACTAATCTTCTCTAAACACTTCTGTTGGCCACAAACCTTCAATTATCAAAGAACATAAGTTGGATTCTCCTGTTCACTTACATTTTACAACATGAAGTGATGCTTGGAGGCAACATGAATGCAAAACAAATGGACAGGCACATGCTGAGGGGAAAAATGTATGTTGTATGACTCCATGAATGTACAGAGACGGGAGCAGAAAGTAGAGTGCTGTAAAGAAATAAGTTACAGTCACAGCCCATTGGGGATCTGTCATCCATTGATAGTTTGTGGCTCAAAGGCACAGACTGCAATAACACTCCAGCATTCAAAGTGAGCTTAAAATTCACTTTACATTGTGTGTGAATGCAGCTTGTACGTAGGATGGAGCATTAGCTTGGCTTGAATGGCAACACAGACAGTCTGACTCGTTGTGCTCCGCTCCCCCTCTGTACTGCTCTGTGGTACACGAGAGCCAACTGAAAACATTTACTGTTACTTGTTCAGTGCCATTATGCAACATCAACACAGTGTTATATTCCAAAATAAGAGTGATAAAGCTGCTATAATATACCACTAAACACTCACCTTTAAGTAATATGTTCAGAGAGCCAGTACACTTAACAGAGACGCATAAAAATTTGAGTTGGTTAAAAAAGCTAAATATAAGAAACGCATGATAAGGTACACGCACACAATACATATACATGCTTGTAGGGATGAAACGGTATTAAAATTTCATATCACAATTAAAGTGATCAAAATTATTACGGTTATTAGTATTATCACAATATTGAAAAATATGCTGAAAAAGATTAAAATGTACTGATACACGCACTGAAACCACTTCAACAAGTTTCATATCGACAGGTTTCCCGCAGCTCCTAAAATAAAACCAGAGAAATTAAGGTCTTAAATTTTCTCAAATTTACCGTAAATTTGTTGTTGGTATTATATTTACCGATGGTGCGTTTAAGGCTGGTGGGAAAATTGTAACGCACAGTTGCCAAAGACTCCTAATTAGCACGTATTTGTATGTTGTAGGTTTTTTTTGTATTAGATAACCCCGCCATTAATATAATTCATATGTTACGTTTACGTTAGCTGCAGACATCTGGCTACGTGTCATATTTCATTATCGTCAGTCGTGGCTGCAAGACTGGGAGACGCAAGTTAAAGTGGCTGGAGGAAGATCCGATCATTCTAGCTCAAACAACTGTACATGTAGGCCTACATCACATCCTCCAAGTCCAAAAAATTAGTGCTGACTAACGTTAACTTTGAAACGCTCGTTAAGCCTGAATGTGTCCGTTCCTTGATTATTTAATATATTCCTTTAGTCTGTAAGGGTCCACCCATCAAAAGAATCAAAACAGCTTTTCAGAAATATTCATCCAAGTTGTGAATCCTGTCATGTGAAGTCCATCGCTCTTTGTCTGCTAACTTCCCCCATCCTGCACCGTGTTGTTGTTGCTAATTTGTTTTTGCTTCTGAGGGAAAGTTGAAGAAACCAGATGGTTAATTGTGCTTTTAAACTTTTCTTTATGGTCAGAACATGACAAACACTTGATGCCAAACAGCAGCCTGATATCAAACACTGGATCACTTCACAAATCTGAGGTAGAACATTTTAAATGAAACCTATATGCTTGAGGAAAAATTAAGTAAAAATTTTTTTCAGCCCCTTTTCGTCAACAAAATAAATATCTTAATAGAAAAGAGAGTGCTAATTTGTTCCTGATTCAAATGAATTCGAATGAATAAAATATTTAGTGATCACTTATTTATTGAGGAAGATTGTATCACGATAATTATCATTATTGCGTCTCTTTTCTATCAAAGAAATTTTGGGGTCTTAAATTTATATTTGTTTAGGTCTTAAAAGGTCTTAAAAAGCATTAAATGTTTCTTTAAAGATGTAAGAACCCTGATTGAAAACTACAAATAAAATTGTCATTTTGTTTGCATAAACAATAAAATAACAGATCATTTTCATTTGTTTAGAAAAGGTATTGGTTAAGTGTGCATTATCAAGATTTTATATTATATAGGTAATGGAGTGACCCCAGTCAGAAAACAGTGATAGTCTGCAATGAGCCTAACATCTGACATAAAAACAGAGCAGTCTGTAGCAGTAGTTTTGACACTTTTACAACTAATTTGACAGCTGCTGGATTTAAAATGAACAAGATATGCTGTTTGGTTGACTAAACAACGTATCGTGTTATGTGCAGTGGACGAATAGAGTCTGCAGATACACGACGCACACAGCAGCAGAGCAACGTGTAGTGTTTTTACAAGAGCGTTTAACACTTAGAGCTTCAGTTTACAAGCTGTTAGCAAGTCAGACAGACAACCCAAAGTTAAGTTAACTCACCATGCGTTCACTATAAGGTCATTTTCTTAAATCAAGTTTCCCTCAGAGCTCTCATAAAACTAAAATATGACCAGACTTCAGAGTGACTGAAAAACTCTGCAGTGCTGTCTTCTGCTGTGTTGTCATTTATCCAAACAAACCCACGCTGCATACTGTGCACGCGCGCCTGCTTCTGGGAGACTGTCGCTAACTTTGGTTGATGTTGGACAGTATTTGCCGTGAGTTTATAATAGCGCGGTAACCAAACCCTTGTCATTGTAATTAAAATGTAGATGGTAATAATAACCGTCGGGAATTTTATCATGGTTTATCATTAAACCGGTGATAGTTTCATATCTACATGCTTACTTACTTACTATCCTGTCAATTGTACAGTTAAGTAAAGGAGCCGAGATTTTGACTGGGCATTAGGGCTGCAACCCATATTTTTGTCCACTCAGTTGTACAAACATGTAGACTACTCTGGGCTAAACCATTTTTACGAACTAGTCTAACATTTTACTGTTTTTATTTGTAACTTTTCCCTGAGAGTTTGATTTACTGTAGATGGCATGTTTTGAAGTGAAAGGCATGCAGAGCTTTACCGTGTCATCACCCTTCATTTCAGGAATAAGAGTTTCCAGTTTATTAGGCACACCTGTACAGTAAAATGAATCTTTGTGAAGCCGCTCATGTTCAGCCTTTGTTGACTTTGTGTCAGAGTTAGTTGATTCAGCTCACTGGCATTTCTTCAGGATGTGATTAGTGGTGTCATAATGGATCGCATTATAGTTTATAATAATCTGGCCGCCTCACATTTGTAAATGGGGGTGGACAAAATGGTAGAATTTTCCAGTAGTATTATTATAGCACCACACACATGATAATGACAGATCAGGGTCACTCAATGTCTAATCAATTGTTACTTTGCCCAAGGCTTGTCTCTCTACCAAATTTCGTAAGCATCCATTTATATAATTTGAGATATCTTGGTGACACACAGATGCAGTGACTGTAACAGGTGAAACATCACCCCTTCGATAGAGGCAAAAACGGTCTGCAGGCGTGTCCTGCTGCATTAGTCACATAGCTCCTGCTGTAGGAGGAACAATGATCTGAATAGCCTAGTTCCAGCCTCTGTACCATTGACAAGGCTCACAAGCTGGCAGAAATGGCTGTATTATGGCGGTATGAACAATAAAGAGAGGTCCAGAAGGTGAGGGAATGACATGACATACCTGTAGGAGAAGGTACCCCCAAGAAACGGAGACAATTTCCAAAATGCTCAATATTTAAAGATTTAAACCAGTTAATAAAACTGCCTGTTGTCCCAAAGATGGTCTTGAAATGAATTGTTGAACTTAAAGGGCACAGGAAGTATTCCAGTATGCTTAGTCATTATTAGTGGTCATATTTAAACTGTGTAATGACGATGCTTTCCCCTGTGTTCTCGTGGTGCTCTGCCACAGTAAAAGCATTGCCCACCATGGCAAAAAAAAGTTTAAAAAAATACTCTGCTTTTGTTGACAATTCTCTAAGTAGGCTGGGTCACTGTGCAGCCATGACTGAAACAGGTGACTGACAAAGAACTCTGGGCTTTTGCAGGACCTAACTCTGTAAGTGAAACATGCATTCATTACACATCTACCCCTCCCCGCCCTCAAGGCAGCCAGTAGCATTTTGAGGATAGTGTAGCCAAACCTCAAAAGAGCAGTGGCCATTTTAGGACGTCTCACACTCTGCTTGTTTGGCTCAGCTCCTTGTTGTCAGACCAGACTCAACTTTCATCAGACTAAGATGTACTCTTTGTCATCTTCAGCTGGCCTTTGTCACGTTCAGCTCCACTGTGTTGGCCTCAGTTGTACTTTGAGCTCAATGCTAGAATGATATGGAGACGGTTGCAGACTGACGGGATTATGGCTTATCATTTTCAAATATATGCATTGTTTGCATATCCAAAGGTGTGGTACACGGGCGTTAGATTATCTTAACGCAAAGGGTACCTAGTGCTGGTTTGAGCTGAACCCAAGTGACATTATAGCCAAACCTTTCCTTGTTTGACTGCAGGATCCACAGTAATCTACACCAGCATGTAACAGGAGACTGTCTTGATTTGCGTATCAAAAGAAAATCTTGTCTCTCTGCTTGCATGGAACTAGTGCTGCTGAAACAATTACTCTGTTTGCAGGAAATTAATCAAAAACTATTGTAAAACAATAATTTATTAACTGCATGCTCCTTGCGTAAGTGATCTGTAGTGTCCCCATGACAGCCATTTGCTTCCCCGTCCTCTGTGATTTCCTGTCATCCAGCCTTGAATCAAAACAAGGGCTGCTGAGATGAAACATTAGGGGCGATTATGAAAGAGGTTGACGTTCAGGATGTGATTTGTCATTTGAGATTTTGAAAAAGTGGCAAGGTCCCACTAGTGTTCGTTACAGAGGCAGTGCCATATTTCCGAATGGTATTTGTCTCCATTTATGATTATAAAGTTTATACAGGTATTGGTCTATGTGGAAACAAAAGTCTCATTTCACAGAGATTAACTTTATATTTTATGGCAATCATGTTCAGTTGTGTGCAGTTTACAATTTTGTTTCATTTTCAGCTCCACCTAATTGATTTTTGTTCTTTCATGCCATGATGATGTTTTCAAATGGAAAAAAAACATTGAACTTTAGATTTGTTATCAGGACACGCTGTGGAAACAGTTGTAATAAACTTGGATGTCTGAGGAGGTCAATGACGTTAATTCTCTCACCTGTCTCCTCAGGTCCAGTAAAACCATGAATCTCTGCTCCAAATGTTTTGCTGGTAAGTCTTCTCTCAATACACAGTATTCCTGAAATGACAAAGAACATCATAAGATTAAATTGCTTATTTTGTGCTGGGTGACTTCTCCATATCATCCCACAGCACAGAGTGTAGACCAACTAATGTGGGTATGAGATTGAGAAAGAATTGATTAAATAGACTACTAGCCAAGCTGTACTGTGCAACTGAGTCCCTGAAATAGTTAATACATCACATGGTTCCCCAATAAATGTGCTATGCAGCTAAAGTCATGAAATAATTTTGGATTATTGGGATTGGAGATGATCACCCAGATTGTGACTGTTTGAAAAGTTGCAGTTCACTGGTAGGTGACCAGCTGCATTTTGGGGACCCTTTTCCTATTCTAAAGTTCAGTTTTCCAGAGATTTCGCATAAAAAATGAGTCTCTGCAGTGTTTGCCAAAAACAAAACAAAAAAACTCTTTTCTGTGGAAGGTTAAGATCAAGGGCAACTTCAACCCAAGTCCAGTTTCCCTTGATTTTAACCTTCCTTGGAAGGTTCCTTGATAACAGTGACCTTGATGAATCTATACAGACAAAAAAACAGTTGGCTACCAAGATGCCTGTCAATATATCAGCATGTTGGAGCATCACTTGCCTCAAACAATGTCATGCTCGACTACTGATGCAAAGGATCAAATATATGCATGCTTATGAGAACAATATATTTAAACTGGAAGAGAACATTAGCCATGTTTTCATTGTCATACAAATTTTAATCGAACTTTTGAAATGTCTCCAAAAAGAAAAGGCTCATTAGACACATTTCCATCAGCTGGTTTGGAGCAAATAAACCAGGCTACACAAAGCGTAGTTATGGAGGAAGTTGACGTTACGCATGGGTGTGAAAAAACAAGAAGTAGAGGTTGCAAACAAAGTTGCATGGACCTAAAGACCATGGGTCTGAGAAAAATGGTCTTCAGAAATGTGTTTTAAGTGCACAAGTTGCTACCAGCCATGCTTCTGCGCGTTATGGGAACATCCAGAAAGACGCCATCAGCAGAAACAGCTGATCAGGCATGTGAGGTAAATGTTCACTACGTCAGAACTTATTTGGAAAAGGTGTTTCCATCTCCCATTTAGTGCATTAACTCTTTCCTCGAAAAAGGCAAAAACCACCTCAAGCGATCGTAAAATCTTTGTGAAATTTAGGAAGTTTTTTCGAAGTTTTGCCATTTCCATCAACCTTTTCTGATGCGATAAAACAATGTGGGTGGAAGCATGGCTATTGTCTTTGAGGGTTGCTTTCAGCTTGTTACTTGAAGTATCTTGTTACTACTTCTGTGAAGTTTCTTCTTGGCATGCAGAGCTGTCCTCACTGACAGCCGCAGACAAAGCTTGGTGTGCCAGCTAAGAAAGTAAAGTAAGAAGTCATTCTAGGAAAAATGGAAGGATAAGTTAAGAGTCTCGCTGCAAAATGATGTATCCACCATTTTGAGGAAAACATTGGTTGAAGTTAAGTTAAGTCGTTAAGCGTTTTGTTATGAAACCCCCTTAAATGTAGAAAGTTTGCTTTCACACAAGTGTCTGACAAAGAAACATGCCCAATTAAAGTTTGAAAATGTCAAGGTATGTATTACGTTTTCTCAATGACTCCTCCAGTCTGGTTTGGGCGGATGGGTTGAGGGTGCACTGCAGCCCTGTCGGTGGCCATGGCAACCATTGAGTACGGCAGACAGCGAGGACCTAAGGGCCCGGCTTTGAGTCTAGCATCACAGACAGCAGCAACGCTCAGAATAGACTCAATACACATGAGTATAGAGGCTGAGCAGAAGTGGGTTAGTCCACATGTGGAGGAGAAACTAAAATGTAGGCTGACCTCCCTCACCCTCCCTGGAGGGGGAAGAGTAAAGACAATATCCTCAAGGATCGATAACGTCTAAGATTATCATTATAGAGAGAGTGCCAAAGTGCAGCTCTGTTGTCCAAGGTGACTGACTCATTGGCAAAGTTAACTGTTGTTATGCAGAGAGCAGGGACTGTTTTGGTGCACATCTAAAACTTGTAAAGGTATTTTTGGGCATTGGGTTTGTGATTATTAGACAGATGACAGTAGAGAGCTGATTTTTAAATGAGGGGGAAAGGGAGACATGGGGTTGCGCAAACACTTATTTTCATTATTGGTTAATCCACTGATCGCTTTCTCATTTAATAAATATTTTGGTCTAATAAGATGTCAAATGGTGAAAGCCTGGGCCCAAGGGGACATCTTCAGTACAAACCAAAGAGATTCAATTTACAATAATCAGAGATGATAACTAGAAGATAAAACCAGGAAGCTAATGACATATTTGTTAAAAAAATATTTGAATGATTAATCTGTTAATCAATGTTTTGCCAATTAATTTTCTGTTAATTGCAAAATCAAATCATCGACTAATTGTTTCAGTGGTAATACAAATTATTCTTTGCATAATCTTCATGTTTGCTTAGGGCAATTTGATTTCAATGTTTGACTTGATGTTTAGAAAAATGTGAATTGCGCGCTTTAAAGCAGCTAATTGTTGGAGTGTTGGAGCTTCCTCGAATGCACCAACAAGGGGGAGTTTTCTTAACTGTTGTGTTCTCATCTGCATTGACATGTGACTTAATGTTTGACTCCAAAATACAAGACAGCCAAATGTTTGCTTTTGATTGATCTCAACCAAGTTGTTTCAAGTCTCTGCTAAAAGATGTTAGAACTTGTACACGGATTCTCATTTACCAAAGGAAGTAGAGAGGCAACAGATATATATAATGTGAGAGTTTCCTTTGCTGTGAGCAGAGAACCGACCACCAAAAATAAAGTCATATGTGTCTTGCAAGGTACAACTTTGCTGTGTGAAAATATCAGTGGTAGCCTGCCTGGTTTCTACACATAACTTGTTATTACAGACGTAGTGTCAGCAGGTTTGGGGTGTAGGGTTGTATTTCTGTAATACACACCATAAACAGGCGCTTGGGTCCAGATTTGAGTGTTTTGACTCTTGATTCTGTGTTGTCTCTCTTTTCATCTCTTCTCCCTCCCTCTCTGTCTGTATCTCTTCTATTTTCCTGTCCTATTTTTACATTTCCCTCTGCTTGCTTCCTTGATCAGACATCCAGAAGAAGCAGCCAGGGGAGGACTGCACCACCAAGCCTATCCAAAGCACTGGGAGTAGCCAATCACCAGTTTTCAGTAGTGAGACGAGCAGTAGCAGTAGCCAATCCCTATTGTCATCGCCAACCTCAAGCTCCGAGCAGCCGTCAGCTGAAGAGCCCTCGTCCACGTTGCCCAGCTCGAGGGAAGGTAAGATTGGACCCCCAATGTTTTCACGCTCTTTTTTTTTTTAATCTTATTTTTATTTTTTAGGTTGTTTCATAAAACAAAGACAAAAGCCGAACTTTTAGGCTTATATCAATTCTACTGTACAATGAAGTATTTATCAGAGAATTGATAAGTACAGCACATATCGTCAGTGGGAAGCTGTTGATGAAGAATGGATAGTCTATTCTTAACACCTTTAAATCCAGTGGGACAATACAGAGTGAGACAGAACAGGACAAAAGCGAGATACAGGCTGTGTTCGAAACAGGCTAAACTGCTGTCTCAGAAGATGTCTAATGTGTATGATTTCGGAGTCGTCTGTTAGCCATTTGGCTTTTCAATACCTAGTTAGCTGATGCTAAGGCTAGCTTCTCCTCTGCCAGCCAGAAGAGATGCAAACCGGCGTGCTGACGTCACACGTTGCCGTAAGTGCTGCCCTAGAGGGCTGTTCGAAACCAATGTTAACAGGGATGCCTTCACTTGAAAGTGATGCCTTCTGAGGCAATTGTCTGTTACGGTAGCGAGGCAACTGCATTCTGTTGCCAGCTAGCGGAGCGCTCACCTTTTAACTAATCGCACCAAGGAAGCATAATTTAAAGGAGACCTATTATACTATACCATGTTTTATGACTTATCTACAATGTTACGATGTTGGATGTACATGTTAAACATGGCCAATTCTTCAAATGAGGTTAAAGTATTAAACCTAAAGTAAAGAAATCCCTGTGAACAAAAACCTCAGATTTCTTCCTGTTTTGAACTGCTTTTTCCACCAGCGGCTCCATTCTACGCCACATGGAGCCAGTGTTCCATAAAAGTTCATTTGTCTGGACAGCAACACTGTCAGACACTGTCACAGCAGCAACAATCAGCTGCGATAGGTTTGTAAACACAATGATGTAACAAAAGCAGGAAAATGCAGTGCGCTTATGTATACATGTTCGAGGCACCACCGTTTCTGTTGGGGGGGGGGGGGGGGGGGGGCTTACAGAGACAGGAGCATCTACAGCTTGTTTCAGACGGAGGCTGAAATGAAGGCCTACATGAAGGGGACAATATAAGATAGAAAATTATGATTTTTTTTTACTTTGAATCATGCAAAGCTGCCACACAGGAGTCACAGAACTTTAATGTGAAGTACTATGCTAAATTCAGGAAATCATTTCATACTGCAAGTCTCCCAGCAACTGCTGAGCTCAACACCACATCAGCAGTGATATATCAGTAGTATCATTGCAGTGGTAGAATCACAATTAAGATAAAGGAATCAAGCCTGTGTGAATTTTGCTTTTCAACACAGAGCCACAACAATGGTACAATATGACACGTTACAGGGACAACTGCACCTCGTGAACAGTGCAAGATATACAATAGGCAGCGGAGAGCACACTTTTCTCAGTGAAAGCATCTAGTTGTTCAAATCTGAATGCCCAGTATGTTTACCGTGTACATCCATGTGCAGCAGGTCATCCTATAAAGCCACTATTACTGAGTCTAACATTGGATATTTATTTAAAAAATGCCAATTGGGAAAGAGAATTCACTTATTTCCACTACAAATGAACATGAACAAAGAATGTTGTAGTAATAGGGCTCCTCAAAAAGATTAAAAAATGTTGTCTATCCCTGCTGTATAATTAAATCATTTTAAGAACTAAAGAGTAATCTAATGACTAAGTAATTGTTTTTAACAAGTATTGTTTTGCGTTCTGCTTCATTGTTTGTAGAACTAAAAGGACTCCAGGCAACACTCAAATATTACTTATTATTAAGTAACATAAAAAATGTAAGATTTCTGATGCTGTGGTCCTGATGGCATAAAGTTCATCAGTACATGTCATTTTTTATTTTATAGCTTCCTCAACATGGACGCATGGTATGGGAAGAGAGAGTTTCACATCCTGTCTCACACGTCTCTTTATTTTCCATCTGCAGGCATGTCGTCCACAGAAACAGCCCAGGGCACACTCTGCACACCCACAAAACGTCCACGAGAATCAGGTACAGTCGGACTCTTTTCCCTGCCTGTTGCTCTACGTGACCGGCCCCGCTTTCAGCGCTAACTCTTAACCCTGCCGTTTGTTTTCAGCGTCGGCTTCAGAGAGCGAGGCGACGCCAGAGAAACGGCCACGGACAGACGAGAAGGAGGGGAGCAGCGAGGAGGCCCGCGGGACGCCCAAGCAGAAGAACCGCCGGCGCTGCTATCGCTGCCAAACCAAACTAGAGCTCGTGCAGCAGGAACTGGGCTCCTGTCGCTGTGGTCAGTACCAACACGTCAGTGTGGTTTTCAGCCACGCGTCATGTTAATATCAATGACTCTGTTCCCCCTCAGTCAGCTGCTGCAATGTTTTTATTTTAACCTGGAAACCACTGCCCTCGAGCAGGGGTGTCAGCTTCTGGTTTAGTAATGCTTTTAGATTATTGTTAGTGTTTTACTTTTTAAAGGCAAAGTAACCCTAATGTAAAAAAAAAAAGAGGGGGATCATTGACATTCAAAAATAAAAGATTTTATTCTGCTAATACTTTTAAACTGATTTTAACACAGGACAATTCAAGTCATTATAATGGCGTTAAAAGTTTGTTTACAGGTGTAAACATGAGTCAAACAAGCCACATTTTTGAAATATGAAAATTGAGAAACCTCAAATGATTTTCTTTTCATCTATTAGTTGGTATATAATTATGTATATGAGCATACATGATGGTGTCAAAACATTAAGGGTCGGGCTTTAATATTAATGGTGTGCTGCGTCAGAGTGCCTTAGATAATGAGAGGTAAGCTCTTTAAGCACAGCCGTGTGTTTACTGTTGTTATAATGTTTGTTTGTGCGTTGGCACAAACCCACAAATAAAACAAATGATCAAAATACTTGTGCACATGTATCATGAATACCAAATTGTAAAATTTTCACATAAGATGTAATCTTGAACATGCCGCTATCATATTTAGAAAAAAGCTAAGATGTAATTGAGATAGTTTAATTAAATTCACAGAAGAGGTATACAGATAATATACACTCTCCTGCACTTTATTCAGAATAATATTTTTAATTGCATATTATTTTTGTTACTTTCACTTTAAATTGGACGAGGAAAGTAGTGCAAATCAGTCAGAGGCTTGTTTTTCTGTGTTTGTGTTCGGCAGTAAGTTTGGTCCGTTATAACCAGTGATGTTTTCTGCCACGCAAAACGGGAACAGCAGAATATTCATTTGGGTCACTTCCTCCCTCACCGTTTTGCTTTCTGTTTCCCTCCCAGGCTATGTATTCTGCATGCTTCACCGTCTACCCGAGCAGCACGACTGTCTGTTCGACCATCTGGGCCGCGGGCGCGAGGAGGCAGTCCTCAAGATGGTGAAGCTGGACCGCAAGGTGGGGCGCTCGTGCCAACGCATCGGGGAGGAGTGCTCCTGATTGGCCACACGGTGACCAGCCATCCAGTTTAGAGATGAGGCGCTTACAAAGAGGAGGAGGAAGAGGTGGAAGGAGAGTGAGGGGGAATGACAAATGGGGTGATGGGGAGGGAGGGAGGGAAGGGAGGGAAGAAGAGGAAGAGGAGGAAGAGGGGAGGGAGCACGGTCGAAACATCCTGCATCTGACCTGACAATTTGGGATCTGAGCTTGACGCCGCCCTGTTGATGTCCTGATTTCCTGCGTCTGTTTGGACTCTGCTCTGGATGAGGCAACTCAGCGCCGGTGGGCCCCAGTGGCTGTTATGCGGAGCCACGTTCAGTATCGCATGTTCACACACACAGCCTTAACCCAACCCCCAACTCTTCAGAGGAAGGACGCCGCAGAGACTGATGACCCCGTATGTCGTACATCATGTATAGCGCCGCTGTTTCTCGCCACGGTTTCCTCCTCTTTGCCCGTGCTCCTTTTTTTTCCCCCAGTACTGGAAGTTGTGGAAGATGAACTCTGCATTCTCATTCGACAAAGTTTTGGGGGTTGTTTTTCCATTTTTTGGTAAAGGGTGAGGGGTCCAGCTCTGTCCCACGCCCACTCCTCAGGTCGTCATCAAGGGGTTGGAGTATCAAACCTGTAACCCCGCCTATCTCTTCTTCTTCTTCCTCTTCTTTTTTTTTTTTTTTTCTTCCATCAACGTTTAGGTCCATGTGCAGCATTACTAACCGTGTTTTGCTCGTGCATGGCACCAGCAACAGTGTATTTGTGCAGGTTTGAGTGTGGTAATGTGAGACAGTCCAAGGATGCTGTCATGGTTTGATTTCCCCCCCCCCGTGTGGCCGCCATGGTGATTAGCTCTGTTTTCACTGCTTAACCACGGTGTCGTGGAGGACAATACAGCCAATCCCTGCCTCTGCTCACATGGACTGTTGACAAAAAGAAAAAATACAAATATAATATAAAAAAATGAAAACCACACTAATGGACAAGAGTCACTCGGATCCTCTGTGTAGCAGATCCTCTTCTCCCTCTTTCCCTCCCCCTTTTTTCAATTTACTGAGTCGTACTGTTGTTTTACATAAAGGGGAATACGGCTAAATTTTTGTATTCAAATGACAAGTTCTTTGCCAAAACGCTATGTATTCATATATAAAACTAAATAACCGAAGTTCATCACAGAGTGTTTCTTTAGTTGTAGACGATCAGTCAAGAGTGCTAATATGAATACATGAATTACATAGTACCCTTTAAATCATTCTTTAATTTATTTCTTTGTGTTTTATGAGTAGGATTATGTCATTTAATTTTCAGATCGGGAAATCTGTTTGGAACATAATTGAAATTTCATTTCCGATTTCTGCTAGTGAGCTTTCACTAAATCAAAGAGAGAGATGGGTTTGTACCACAGTTGAAAGCAGTGATGTCATATTGATGCAGAGCACAAGTGAAAATTGGTGTGAAGGCCCGAGAAATTAACCAAAAGCTGGTTGACTTGAAGACGTTATACACCTAAAGGATAACAAGGTTTGTGAGATACCAGCAGCCAGATATGCCAGATAATATGTTTTGAATATGGCTGGACTCTTAACTTGCTACTTCAGCAAAATAATCAATCATGATTGGTTCCTTTCAGTTCAGTTTTGCTATTAATTAACCTTTTCAGGTATACGTAGGTATAACATTAAGCATAAACTTGACTTTGACGTCACAGATTGAAACCGTCTCTGGTGTGTTAATGAAGCCTCAGCTGGTTTTGGCTGCAGAAATAACCTGAATTCTTAAATTGAGTGGTTTCCCCTGTCCTCGTACATTTTATTTTGTCATTGTTTCCAACCCTGCTCTTAATCAGCCTACACAGTCTGACTGCTTGGACTTTGTGCTGTGCATATTGTTCAGTTACACATCTCTCTTCCTTCCTTCTCCTAAAGGGGTGTTCTACCAAAATCAAGTTTTTTTTGTTTGTGACTTTGCAGAAGCGGACCTTTTTTTTTTTCTCCCCCTTCTCATATTAATTTTTATTTGTTTTTTTGGGCATTTAGCACTGATTGCAGGTGCATTTAAAGTATAAGTTGTGATTTGTTCAATACAGGTACGGAATCTCCATAAAATGTACTTTGTAGCATCACAGGAAGTGCAATTTGATGTTGAATTGTACATGACTGTTTTTCAATTCGGAGAACTAACAAATGAAGCAGTGGATTTTCTTGAGTGGCAGGAAAAACAGAAAGCGTCCTTTTTTGCAAATAAACACTGGAAAAAGTTGATTCAGGTGGAGAGCCCTTATAACCAGACACCACTTAACTATGCTAATCCTCATGCACAAGTTATTGTTTCCTCCCTCACCTCTCCCCACCCCTCTCGTCGTTTCCAATGAGAACACAGCGAAGGATAAGGGAGTTTGGAGAAATGTCGTGGCTGGTTCTTATTTTGATATTTTGAAAAACGTGTTCCTCTTTTTTTTGAGTGCTAATGAGAAATGGAAGAAATGGAATATGTTTCTGTATCGTTTTAGAGAAAAAAATTATTTAACCTTATATCAGTTTGAGTTACTTACACCCTAGCATAGAGTGGCATATTTAGTTAAATGTATAAAAAAGCAAGAACATAATTCTGTCCTATTTTCTCCTTTAATTTTATCGTGTTCCATTTTCTGCTGAGGAAAATAAACTGGATTAGAGGATGTGGTGTGTGCATTAATTTCTCCTATATTAGCATTTGTTTGAAAATTGTGTCTCTGAAAATCAACCATGACCAGAATGTATGAAATATCCTTCAGAGTTAATTACTGAAGTTGAAATGTAAAGCAGAGTTTAATCTCATGTTGGTTATGATTTTAAACTACCATAGTCTTTGTTCTTTCCTGCAGAGATTTAGTTGATCCCATTAGAACTACAGGATTTAATATCGATTTACTGGCACAGTTCCTAATAAGGTAGCACGGTGATGCAGTGATCATTAAAAGCATGGTAACCCAAATTGAGAGGTCACAGTTTGGAGCTTAAGCAGATACAGATATCCCAAAATGATAAGTTCAATGTCTTTTGTGGTTCAGGTATTATTTTGGTCACCTCCATAATGAAATTTGCTGCATCAGCTATACTTTTCCTGTTTAAATATAGGACTAAAAAGTGTGGATGTGAGGATATTATTTAGCCTATAGTGATTGCAGTATCAATCACAAATTAGCTTTACCATAATACTAATTAATACATAATCTAGAAAACCAGAACCGTTGTCTTACAGTTAGCCAGGGATGCATTAGTATAGTGTCAGCGATGACCTATCTTTGAGTGTCCTGTTTTTGGAAACAGGATCTCCTGATGAGGACCCTGTAGTACAGATAAGTGGATCCTGAGCTGATTGTTTGGTCAAATGCAGTTTCCATGGTCCAGAATGAGAGATGAAGCTCAACAGGTTTTCAGATCAGAAGTAGCAGGAGTGCAAATCTTGGGAACATGCTTTAATAAACATATCAGATATCAGATAACAGTACTCCTTAGGCGGTAGAATGTCCCCTGTCAGTGTTGCATTTCCATATCATGTATTATATTATAGATTATTATTAGGCTAACATGTAAGAATCTTTAAATACTGTTGGATTAATCCGTAGTATATCATTTGATAAATGCACCATATTTTTTGTCTGTGTAAAATGTCTAAAATCTCTGAAAAGTAACTAGCAAATACAGCTGTTAGGTAAAGGTATTATTACCATTTGAAATATTTAGAGGTGTAAAAAATACCTAAAAATTTTATTTTAAGCACTGTACATGAGTTTACTTACTGGGTTAGAAGAACTATGGAAAGTTAATCGGTATCTACAGCTCCATTGCATCAGAGACTACTCAATCTGCGGATGAGGACCATGTGACACAGTCAAAACGTCCAGAGCAAGCCAGTAGGTTGATTGAGTTGTGACTGCTTTGTCAGCAGATGTTTAAAAGTCAGGAATGACCTGTCACACTCAGGACTTTCCCTATTTGTTGAAGTAACTGAGGTGGGCGGGGTCTAAGCATTTCTAAAATCTAGGCAGACTGAGATAAAAACATGATAAGAGTTTTTTGTATTAATTTGAGCAAAAGTCTATCTTTGTAATTCTTAACAAGTCTGTTCACAGTTCTGACAAACAACAGACGAGTAAGTTAATCGGGGCAAATGACAAAATATCATATATAATATAAATATGAATAATATATATTCATCTAAAAATATGTGGATGCATTTGATCAGTGTGCACAGTAAAGTGTCTGAAAAGGATCTTAAGAGGTGGAAGCAAATCTCTGCAGGCCTAGGCCTATTTAAAAAGGTGCCAACTCCCTCTAGGCGCATGAAATTCTCAGTGGGCATGCAGGACTCGGCACAACACCTGTTGTTCATCTTAGTTTAGAACAATTTAGCTAATGTGCTAGAATATATAGCCTACTTTTATTGTGCTAGATAGCTAGATTTTCTCCTTTTTAAAAACTCATGTATGTAACATTCTTCTTTAGCGAGTTAACTTTATTCAGACAAGTCTAAACATCTTAAAAGCAAAGTGAAACGTTAAAAATAGCAGTCACAGGCTTCATGTATCCTAAATGGAACAATTAACTATATCTCAGTATCAGCAGTTCATCTTAAGGCAAGGTAAGTTTAGTATTTATAAAGCACCTTTAAACAATAAGGCAATTTATAATGCTTCACAAAACAGAAAGCCATGGGTGGTCCACACCTTGTCTGGGGTCGTATTAATACAAGACCAGAGTTTTCATTTGGTTTTGGAGACAAACAAACTGAAAATCTCCATTACATCTTCATCTTCTTGCTCAGTGTTCTGCTGGGTGCTTCTCCACGAAAGCTGTCTTCATGCAGTTTGAAAGAGGAAGCTTGTGAATAGTCACTTTTCACCAATTCACCAATTTGATGAATACATTATGTGTGATGTCCAGTGCAGAGCATGTGACGTTACAATCAAGTATTTATGTCCTTCTTTAAGTCCCATTGTCTAATGCTGCATTTAATGCAGAGTTGGCAGACTGAACAGGGAAACTCCCGTTATTGCTGGTTAAAGCCTTGTATTCCCAAAATTTAAATAGGCTCAGTCAGCTGCTTTAGTACATATCTGTAGCGTAAGAAGTGAACCCACATGCAAACATTGGATAGATTCTTTTAGCTGAATTGATTGAATAAGACTTATTAGATTTTATTTTAATACCATCAGCAGTGGCTTTATCTGCCCTTTTGCTGCTTGCTTGTTGGTGAGTTGTGTGGGAGATGTTATCTCTGTGAGAAATTCCTAATGTCTCTGACTTGGAATTACAACTAGGAGACTGGCAAAGCTCGACACACTAGTAATTTAGGTCCGAATAATACAAACTCACAATCAAAACTTATGCTGCAGGTTTTGTGTGCATCTTTGGAATTACTGCCTTCAGTTTGCACCTAAAACAATACGTTTGAAATTTCTAAAACTGCAGTGCTGTTTCTAAAACTTTAAATATAATGAAATATGGCACAAACTATTTCAACTTGAGTACATTTTAGTGAACGTAAAAGCACTTCTACTTGAACCTGACATTGCAACATGTACACTTACTGTACATATACTACGCTACTTAAAAAAATGGCGCTTATGAATGTGCCATCCTGGAGGAGCTGGACTACCTGTGCAACATGAATGGGCCCCAGGTACCATCATATGCTACCAGCAAAATGCTAAACTAGAGCACGATCAGTCAGGAAGAATAAGGAGAGAGTAATTATCTGTGGCCACCGCCTGCAAAACCATTCCCTTTTTGGGCGTCGCCTTGCTGTTGCCTCTGCAGTGCACCTGTTGTCAATTCATTTGCACCAAAACAGGTGATACTGATTCAAAATCGTTTATGCTTCCTAACTGGACCGATTGACATCTTTTTAAGTGACATGATGTTGTATTGTGATGACTACGTGTTCCCTTATTTTATTGAGCTGTGGATTTTAATCTTTGAAATGCTGAACAGAGCTCAGTTTGGAGTTTCATGTACTGTGGAGATTTGGGGTTTTGTAATAGTGTTTTGAGACAAATTTATTTCATTTTCAGTGGAAAAGCCTCTCCACAATGCAGAGTGTTGTTGTGGACATCAGAAACAAAAGACAGGTACTCTGTGTGAACACTAGATGGCGCGCTAAGACAGTAAAGACATGTTTTACTCCTCTGGTTCATCTCTTCTCTCACATAAGAAGGATCCTTTTTATTTTCTGTTCCACATGTTTTATTAATAACGCTGAGCTGGAACCATGTGCCCAGTGGTGTGTCTGATTATTTATTAAAATAAAGATGCAGCAGACGGTTTTCTTCTTGTCAACTCGTCTGTTCAGGAAAAAGAAAATCTTTCCTCCTCTCTGTCCTTTCTTCATCTGCCTTCTCTCCTCCTCTCTTTCTCTAAGGCACAGTTGATTAGCTTTTCTCCCCCCTTTATCTCTATCTTCCTTTTTCTCTCAGTCTGCACACAAAAACATTACTGGGTTAGAATTGGAGCAGAGTGGATCAATACTGTATAGCACTGACGCAATAACGGGAAAACCACCCCAGACAAGGTGTGGACCACCCATGGCTTCTGGGTAAAGATAACGTAATACATCTGTGCTGTGTGATTTTAGTGTGTGTTCTTCTTTTCCATTCCTCTGTATTTGTGGTTAAAGGTCTAAATGCCAGAAAGATCCCTTGTTTGGACATGTATTGTGTTAGTATGGTTAGTTATGGCTTATTTAGATTGGTTATAAATGGACATAGAGGTCTTACAAGGGCCTGTATGGCAGAAATCTATCTTTCTTTGTCCTGTTTTTTAAAATCCTGTCCTTGTAAGTTCTGCGCTGTTATGAACTGGTCTACTCTGGTTTCTTCTGCTCTACGAATACTGTGCTTTTTTAGTGGTAATTTTACTTTAGTCTGCATTGAATATGATTTTTTCCCTTTTACTCTCTTATTCTTGACTTTTGTCAGAAGCTGGAGCTTATGATTTTCACTTTTTGATTAATATGATGATTATTTTGTAGTTTTGGTCAAGAAAATGACATTGATTGACTGAAAATGATATTGGTTCACTGATTCAGTTGACTTGTTTTGTCCACTATCAGTCCAAACTCCTTCCACTGAAAACAAATGAGGAAGAATGCATTACCTTTCTTGTAGACAGTTTGTCCAAAGACTGGAAAATGCTGGACTGAGTGAATTATTGGCATGTTCGTTTGATTAATACATAGTCATTTGCTGCAGATTAATTTTCTGCTAATCACCAGATCGATCTGCGTTTGTCTCCTCTCTGTTTTTTGTCTTCTCCTCACCTGTGACTATTCTGTTCTACCTCAGTGGAGTAGTTGCGGGTGTCGGCAGGTGGAGCTCCATGCTCTCCCATTCAAACCTCCAGGAGGGTCCAGGACTCCCTCAGAGAAACACACTGATTCTCGCGCGCGCGCGCGCGCACGCGCACACGGCTGTCAGGCGTGTCAGAGAAGCGCTCGAGCCTCTGTGAGTTGAGAGAGAGAGAGAGCGTGCGCTCTGTAGTCAGTGTTTTACCGTCAGCGGGACCGGACCGACTTGTGTGTGTTAGTTAGTTTGGTTTGCTGGTTGGTGTGCTTGTTTTATTTGTTTTCTCGCTTCTATAAAATGGGATTCTGACAGCAGCCGGGCTGCGGGCGCCGCCGGCTCCTCCTGACCGGAAA